GCTGACGTTTCGGGCCTAGACTAGGCCCAAAACGTCAGCCTTCCTGCTCCTCTCATGCTGCTTGGCCTACTGTGTTCATCCAGCTCTACACCTTGTTATCTCTTCTTAAACACAGACTTTTTTTTACAAATATAGAGTGAAACTGGCACATCAATGGATCTGAATTAAGACTGCTAGGGCAGTTTATAAACTCTGATGCATCTGGCTGGATCACACTGTTGTGAATGTCACATTGCCGCAGCTACTGTACTGCAACATTTCCTGCAGTTTATACCACACGGGATACATATGCCCACAATGCTTTCCATCCCCTTATTTCGAGTAACATTGAGCTTAACCCAAACTTTGCAGGGAATTGCTGAATCTTGCAACATAGAATCAAGTCATTCAGCCCTACTGGACTTATCCTGGCTTTTTGACAGAGCTATCCACCTAGCCTCACTATGCTGTTCATTCCACAGATATTTGAGTATATCTCCATTTGCTCATTTTAAGTCATTACTGAATCTGATTCAACTGCCTTCTCCAGATCACAACCTACTGAAATGAAAAAAAAATGTTGCCTGTCATCTACGCTCTGCATCTTTTGCTGATAATCTGAAATCTGCGTCTTCTGGTTACTGATCCTCCTGCCCTCTGGGCACAACTATTTCACATTTAATGTCTCATAACTCTCAAAAAGTCAGCCATCATTCCAGCCTGCTCTGTATTTCAATAATTCTTACAAAGGAACTAAGAGTAGGACTTAGTAATTCAGCCCCTCGAGCCTGCTCTACCATTTGATACGATCATGGCTGATCTCATCTTGGCCTCAATTTCACTTTCCTGCACACTCCCCATAATTCTTTAATTGTTACCAATTAGTGTCCCAGCATCCACCACGCTCTGGGCTGATGAATTCCACAGATTCACAACACTTTAGGGAAAGTAATTCTTGCTCATCTGTGTACCAAATCTGCTACCCCCCGTCCTAAAACCATAAACTCTCATTTTAGATTTCCCCACAAGGGGAATCATCTGCTCCATGTCAGTTTTCATCCTTCTCCACATTGCTTCCTTGAGTTCTTTCTCATTGTTCAGCTTCTCTTTTGTGCCTTTCTTAAGACTATTGATAGTCACTTTCAGTATAAGCAAGCTTCCAGATATTGTCCACTTCCAGAGCTCCGTAGCATTGCTGACCCTTTCTGGCCATATCACTAACTAGGTCCAGCATTATACATTTGCAACATTCCAAGTTTGTTCTACCTTTAATGGTTGGAACATCAAAGGCAAAGTCTTCACAATTTCATGGTTAGTGAGGGGTTCCTCACTGGAATTGCAAAATTGAAAATCAACTCTAATTATTTTGGAAATTAAAATTTCATCTCATTGATATTATTTGAAATGGTGGAGAGAAAGAAATGGAAACCAGAACGATGGAACTGCTGCGTCAAACCCATTCTTTTCCAATTCCTTTCTTGGAAAGCAACAATTCCATATTCCTGACTCTTTCCTTTCCTGTAATGTATCATTTTAAACCACAGATCTGGCATTGTCTGACCACTACTTCATTTACCTCATTCGACCTCCTACTCTTCTCAAACTTTATTGGTATCCTGAACAATGGGCCTTTTATCTAGGTCTCTATGCTGGAAAAAAAATACCTTGATGATCAAGTAGTCTGAGAATATCAGGAGTTAAGCATTAAATAAACTACACAACAGGATAACTCTTCATAACTACTAGAATGCTCATTCTAACTTCGCTAAGCTCCATTTCATACTGCCTACCATAATTTTACATTTTGCCCATAGTCAGAATGCCCTTTCTGAGCAAAACAGTTTCTTTGAAGCGTTGGAGAAAACTACACTATTACATTGCTGTAAGAAGATGGTATATTCAGTCCAACTCCAGTAGTTTAACCTTAGCTTGTCTGACTACCTGACTTAACAGCCTGGGTAAATCATTTCCATTATGACTTTGTCCCACAGGTTTCAGTTACTCATGTGTGATATAACCTCCAGTGTTACAATTTTCCCAATTCAATATGCTTTTATAAACTGCACATTTAATTATTATAGACAAAGTCAATAAATAGCAATAGATAAACATGAACATCCAATACCTTGGGGAGTTAGATCCAGTTTCTTATTACTGATGTCAGATCACATGTAAAAATGCCTCAGAATAGAGAGAGAGAAGCACACTTTAAAGTGCTGTGCGCTGATTCATTACAAAACAATCCTGCTGGGCAGAATCCCAAGGGCTACCATGAACCACACAGTGAAAGCAGCAGCCAGAAAGATATTCTCCAAAAATTGCTTCCAGGTGCAAGTTGAAATAAGCATGTCACCTCTTCTGGATCCAGATATAAGGACCTCAGAATATTGAAAACAAAAACCACAGGCACAGCAGCAAAGCGAATTTGTCGATCAGATGGGAAGGCTCACTCATACTGTGCCTCAGGGCTCAAGATATTGTCCACCAAAAATATGACCCAGTTGGAATAATGCTTCTCCACCTATAAATGTGAAGTTAAGTCGGATCATGTCCTGAGATACGGCCTTTCCTCTTTTTGCATAAGGCCATGTCTGCTGGGTTAAATGCATGCAGACACCTCTAGCTCCTTATTACTCTAGGAATGCACTCACACATACAACACACATACACACACCAGTCCTGTGTTGGGCTACAGTGTCCCATTCTGTTGCTCATCTAAAAACTGTCAACTCCCGGCTTTCGCTGAAAAGGTGTCGGTACTGATTAAGAATAAACTCTACAATCTGGTTCTGGTAGACCATGTGGACTGCGATGTTTCCTGTTTCTGTCTCTGGTCTCAGGAGGGTGGGGCCAAACACAATCGCCATACTCTGAGAACTCATTCGATTCTGATTGCGGTAGTCTATCACACTGGAAGAGAATGAAGGAGATTATTATAACTTGGAAAGCCATGTGCTATTTTATGTCACCATTATTCAATCCTAAAATACATCATTAAAATTGTCCTTGCATTCATTGCGAGCCAACTCCACAGTAGAAAAGGGACAAAAATATTAAATGAATTGTGTAGCAGAAAACAAATTTCTTCCCTTCAAAAGATTGTAAGCATGAACGTTACAAGCCCATCCAGCCCTCAATACGTGGCCAGGTCCATATCAGCAGCTGTCATTAATAATGATCAGGAACAGGAGTAAAAACAGATTACTGTCTGTTTAACCCTAGACCAGTGTAATACTGGGCTAAGTTTATATTGTACACAAACAGGCCATTCAGCCCAACTGGCTTATACCAATGTTTTATGTTCCACACAACCATCCTGCTTGAGCTAATACTAACGCCATGATCACTTTTACTTTTATCTACCTCGTGCTTAGTAAGCTTCCACATTAACGCATCAACACTTGTCACCTCAACCACTTATAATAGTCAGTTCCACTTTCCAACCAATCTCTAGGTCAAGAAGTTTCTCCTAAATTTCCTATTAGACTAAATCAGGTAAATTTTATAGCCCGTGGTTTCGGTCTCAAAACAAATCAAAGTATTTCCTCAATGCCTCCCCCATCAAATTTTTCATAGCTGTAAAGATTAGCTAACTCTTGGGTTTTCCAAATTCAACCTGATTCCGAGGAATCAGTTTATCAATGGATGACCTTGCTAGGTTACTGGTGGTGAAGTTAATTACTTCCTCATTTTTAATACCAAATTTCTCTCAATGATTAAACTTGTACAAAGCGCAATGAAAACTGGCCAAGGGCCATGATATAATGGCTGACTGAAATGGTTATTCTTGTGCAAGTTTGGACAGTGATGGTCAGGCAGCTGTTCACCTTGAGGCACCACAGCTGAGCCAAACTATTTATACACTTTTGGCGAAGATCTGTAGCTCGGGTTGTGGGTGAGGTTGTTGACTTGCTCGCTGAGCTGGCTTGTTCTTGTTCAGACGTTTCGTCACCATGCTAGGTGATGTCATCAGTGGAGCCTCCAATGAAGCCTTATGGCAGTGTGGCCAGTGTGTTAGGGCATACTGTGTCCTCCTGTTGCTGTCTGTTTAGTGGGCAACTGTGGATGAAGTTGCGGGGATATTTGTTTCGGGGATATTGGAGGCTCTACTGATGATGTCACCTAGCATGGTGACAAAATGTCTGAACGAGAACAAGCCAGTGCGGTGAGCAAGTCAACAACCTCACTATATTCACACAAAAGCACTAACCATACAGGCCAAGGACCTCAGTCGCTTTTTTTATTAGGCTGGGAAAAGTCAGGCAAAATATGGCATACTACAATGACCACAACATAGATCTGATAACTCTGCCTGGATTAAGGATCAATCCTGCACCATTTCAGATCAGAATCTTTGTAGTTTCCTCAGTTATTATTACTTCATGATGATCTCTGCACACTTAGTACTGCTATCTCTGACACAACATTTCCTTCACCCTGTATCCAAACGGTGCCCTGTGCCATCTGCTCAACCAAAATATTCCTTTACTAGCACCACAAAAAGCTGGCATTCTTTTGCTCTCTCTTTCCGGTTTGTTTTATATTATCTGACCTCTGTTCTTCATTTTCCTAAGTTTCTCCCCCACTTGCCTCAACATTAGCACCAGATGAGCTTTGACCCTTTATCTCATTTTGAACAAACAATTCTTGATGACTAACCTCCCTATAAACATCCACATGAAATAAATTCAGACCAATACTGATTTGCCCATATAATGTGCAGCATCATCAAATATAAGCATTTCTAATTGAATTCTCTATTGGAAGCACTCAATGTTATTTACAGCACAGGTTAAAACTGATGGACTATATGGTTAATGAAACAAGAGTCATCTAACACTCGCTTAGGAATGCTGTTGTGAAAATCTGTCTCACTTTTTACATAGTGCCCAACACAAACTTAGGATCACACAAAAATGTTCATGGCCAATTAAATATAATACATTCAAATAAAAAAAAGTCGTTATTATAAAGAAGAAATGTGGCAATAGTGTGTATAAGTGTTTACTCATTCTACTCCTTAAACATCTACTTGCACAAAGTCATACAGCACAGAAACAGACCCTTCAGACCAACCTGTCCATGCTGACCATAATCCCAAATTAAACTCGTCCCACCTGCCTGTGCTTGGCTCATATCCCTCCAATATTTCTTATTCATGTACTTATCCCAATGTCTCTTAAACATTGGAACTGTACCAACATCCACCACTTCCTTTGGAAATTCATTCCACACACGAACCACTCTCTGTGCAAAAAAGTTGTCCCTCATGTCCTTTTTAAATCTTTCCCTCTCGCCTTAAAAATATGCCCCCTAGTCTTGAAATCCCCCACCCTAGGGAAGAGACACTTGCCATTCACCTTATCTATAAGGTCACTTGTCAGACTATAGTCCTCCACACCCCCCCCATCCTACCCGCTCAAACCAATGGAAACAATTTCTTCCATTGACCTTATTTTTTTTCCTTAATATCATGAAAACTTTGATCACATCACCAAGTTGTCTAAGTCAAGGAAGTTCAGTCCTGGTTTATGTAATCTCTCCTTTATTTAACCATGGGAGTAAAGCTATAGCAGTAAACTTATGTAAACATACTGTCCAAAGTCAATCTCCTGAACATTGGTGCCCAAATCCACTCACGACACTCCAGAGTTTTCTTGCATTTGTTTACACAATTTGAATGTCTTGACTTGGCCAGCATTTATTTTCCACCCCTAAAAGTCCTTCAAAAGATGGTAAGCTGTCTTCACGAACAGTCTGTGTGGTACAGTACACCCACAGTGCTATTAGGAAAAGAACAGCTATATAGTTCCAAGTCAGGGTCATTGTGGCTTGGAGGGGAACTTGCACATGAACATGTAGCTGGTGTTCCTGTATGTCTGCTGCCCTCATCTTTCTGGGTGGTAAAGATTACATATTTGCAAGGAGCTGCGGGGTGTTTCTGCAATGCATCTTGTAGGTAGTACACACTGTGCACCATGATGGAGTAAAAGAATGTTTAAAGGTAGTGAATGCGGTGGCTATCAAGTGATCTGCTTTGTCCTAGATGGTGTCTTTTTGGAGCTTTTTGGAACTGCATCATCCAGGCAAGTGGGGAGGATTCTATCACACTCCTGACTTGTGCCTTGTAGCTGGTGGACAGGCTTTGGGAAGATGGGAGGGGAGTTATTTGCTCCAGTGTTCCTGGTCTCTGGCCTGCCTTTTGGGGTTTTTTTTTAAACTATGTAATTCACCCAGAGTGAAGACAGTTACTCACTTGCACAGATGTTTGAAGAGAACTTGCATGGTATCATGGTTGGACACAGGGAGCGAATGGATTAAGTCTTTGATGTATGTCAAACGCTGTCCAGGATCTCCCAACTCTGTGGGGAAAAAAAAGGTGGTATTTTAACTTTCAGTGAAACATTCGGAAGGAGAAAAAGTATTTTTTTTTTATCCCCAGGTCTTGCCACAGTTGTTTTTTGGTACCATAACTGTTTGGAGTTGATAGGTAACAGACTTGTGGGCCCTGCAAACATCAGTCTGATAGAAGCCCAATGAAGTGTACCTCGACACTGTCCAGTTGAATGGCAGTTTAACATAAACTCAATTTAGGCATAATGGAAACAAGGAGTATTAATCCACTTGCTGCTATTTCAAAGCACTGCAAATAGGGAACCTCTTTCACCTTCAATCCAGCTTGTAGATAGATGGTGGTCACCAGGAGAACTCAAGGAGTAGATATAATTCACTTATTTTACACGGTCATTAGCAGCTGCAAAAGGTCATGAGCAGGAACATTATTTATTCAATATCAAGTAATATAGAAGATTTTGACTATTATGATCAAAAGCACCAACACAGAGGATCCCTATCCTGCTGAATACAGATTTCCATAGCTTTCAGTTAGTCACTGCGAGCCAGTGCAACATCTAACTGTTTGCCTAGTCATAAACACAAAGAAAATCAAAGAGATTCACAGAACAGATAAGATTTTCTAGGATCACCAGTCATCTTTTTGGCTTTGGTTAAGAAAAAGTAAAAAACCGCATTAAAAACTATAAACTATATTTGAAAGAAGTGCCAATTCCAGGTAATAAGAAACAAAACCAATAAAGTACCTGACCCTTGCCTAGCTACAAATTCTGAAAATGTACTGTTTACATGCTGGCTACGAATGACAGAACTGAATATGATATATCCCAGTTTGTCACTGATTCAAAGCTGGATGGGAAAGTGAACAATACAGAGAGATATAGACAAGTTAAACGAATAAAAGTGGCAGCTGGGGTACAGAATATAGTGAAAGTGAACTTACCACTGTGGCACGGAAAAATAGAAAAGCAAAATTTTCTTTTAAAATAGACTAGTGAATGTTGGTATTCAGAAGGATTTGGGTGCCCTTGCACACAAATTACCAAAAAAAACACGCAGGTAGAGGAACCAATAATAGAAGCAGAGGATATATTAGCCTTTACTACTAGTTTTTGTTTTCTCCTTTATTCTTGGGGTTTGGGCATTACTGGCGAGATCAGAGCTTGTTGCATGGCCACTTCAGGAAGCAGTTAAGTGTTAACCACATTACTATGGGTGTAGAGTCACATATAGACTAGACCGTCACCCAGCAGATTTCCTTCCTGCATTAGTGAACCAGATTGGTTTTTACACCTATTGTACAACGTGGTTTTCGCTGTTGCCATTACCAACCCTAGTTTTATATTCCTAATCTATTTATTGCCTTTAAATTCCACTAGCTGCAGCGGGATTCAAACCTGGAGCATTAGCCCAAGTCTCTGGATTACACTAATGCAGTGACATTACCACGATGTGTCTCTTCATTCTTGAAGGACAGGAATAAGGAAGTCTGCAATGTTTTATATTGCTTTCATGAGATAATGTGCTTTGTTATTATTTACATCCAATCAGTTCCCATTGACCTGATCATTTTCTAGCTCCCAATCTTAATTCTCTCTAAACTACAAGTATCTCCATGGAAACCAGCCATTTTGAATGCAATATCTGTACAAAGATCTTGTGTAGCATATTATTTTCTTATCCACAAATCCTGCTTCTTGTTGTTAATGTTTTCTCAGCTTTTCCACTGCAATGTGAACTGTCAAAATAGTTAAACGTTCTGATCACTAGTTGGCTCTGTTTGATTCCAAAATCTCTGTTTTTTTGCCACCTTGTATACATAGAAAAGACATGGGCAAGATCACAGGCAATTTAAACTTCTCAATTTATTAAAAAGCTGCTAGCATAAGCAGCAATTGGGGCACTAAGATTAGGGAGCAGTTGTATAAAGAAAATTCTACTTTTACTTACTCATTGCGTTGATAAAACTCTCAAAGTAATTGAATGGGAAAAGTGGCTCAGACAGTTCTCGGAAGAAGAGTTTCAGGGCCCCAGTGATAACATGGACATCGTCCCATGGGCCTTCCTCCAAGTTCACATTTTCATCTGTGAAAGAAGGATAACAAATGAACAAGTTAAGCTTCAGAGCCACCACTGGTAAAGGCTTACACATCTCAACATAACTGGGGTTTGGGACAAAAAAAACTGCAGCAGCTGGAATCCAAGGTAGACAAACAGGAGGCTGGAAAACACAGCAAGCCAGGCAGCATCTGGAGAAGGAGAAGTCAACATTTCAAGTATAACCCTTCTTCAGGACTGGATGTGAGGGTAGGGGGAGCTGCAGATAAAGAGTGGGGCAGGGGAGGGTAGCGGAATGGTGGTGACAGGTGGACACCATAGTAGGTATAACCTGGTTGGTCGATGGGAGGGATAAATCCGGTTGGCAGCTGGAATGAAAGGGAAGAGATGGGGCTGGAAAGGGAGCCGGGGATGGGTGGGAAGGTTATTTGAAATTAGAGAACTCAATGTTGAGTCCTCCAGGCTGTAGGATGCCCAGGTTAACTGGGGTTTACCTGCTGAGCAATCCTTAAGCTGCTTGACCTTAACGTGCAACGACAGCCTCACATCTTCCAATGAAAATGACATTTTCCAATTCCCAATTACACATTCCAGCATTGTTTGACTGGGTAGCATGTGCGGATTTGGGGTGAGGAGACAGTCAGCTGTGATTCCCAACCTGGTCACGTAGGTTCTGACTGTCGTTGCCAAAGTTTGCACAAAGTTTGACCTTTTGGGGGAGGAGACTATCATTCCAATATGAGTTAGTTGTTACTGCCCACATGCAGAAATTTGGAATAAAATTGGGACATTATTTACACTTTAAGAAAAAAATTGTCCACTTGTGGTGCATTGATTGCCAAGCCCTCGGGTTTAGTAACTTGCTTGGTCACTTCAATATCACATGTAGGCCCCACCAATTAAAGGCAACACATTCAGTATCTGCAACATCATAAATAAATGACAATCAGACAATTTTACAAGTTGATTTAATTGATACTAAAGCCCTAATTTTCATCAAGTTGGAAGGGCCTGTGCCTTAGACAAAATGATGCCTGGGCCTGGAATCAATCTGTTCCACCTCTGAACATGGCATCCATCATTTCTATGGTGTGGGCTAGTTTCACAGAATCACTGGCACTTTTAAACATGCAGTTACCTTCAAACACACCAAATTGTGTCACCCGTGTTTCTGAAACATGACCTGTCGTGAAGTCATAGAAACAGACCCTTTGGTCCATTTCATCCATGGCGACCAGATATCCTAAATTAATCTAATCCCATTTGCCAGCATTTCGCCCATATCCTTTTAAACCCTTCCTATTCATATACCCAACCAGATGCTTTTTAAAGGTTGTAATTGTACTCATCTCCACCACTTCCTCTGGCACCTCATTCCATACATGCATCACCCTCTGCATGAAAAAGTTGGCACTTAGGTCCCTTTTAAATCTTTCCCCTCTCACCTTAAACCTACGCCCTCTAGTTTTAGACTCCCCTACCCTGGGGAAAAGACCTTGACTATTCACCCTATCCATGCCCCTCATGATTTTATAAACCTCTATAAGGTCACTCCTCAGCCTCCAACACTCCAGGGAAAATAGGCCCAGCCTATTCAGCCTCACGCAAACCCTCCAACCCTGGCAATAATCCTTAAATCTTTTCTGAAACCTTTCAAGTTTAGCACCTTCCCTATAGTAGAAAGACCAGATTGGAATGCAGTATTCCAAATGTGACTGACTAATGTCTTGTATAGTCGCAACATGACATCCCAACTCCTATACTCAATGCACCGACCAATAAAGGCAAGCGTATCAAACACTTTCTTCACTACTCTGTCTACCTGCGACTCTACTTTCAAGGAACTAGAAGCTGCAGTCTAAGGTCTCTCTGTTTGGCAACACTCCCCAGGTCCCTACCATTAACTGTATAAGTCCTGCCCTGATTTGCCTTTCCAAAATGCAGTACCTCACACCGATCTAGATTAAAATCTATCTGCCACTCCTCCGCCCATCAGCACATCTGATTAAGATCCTGTTCTACTCTGAGGTAACCTTCTTTGCTGTCCACTACACACCGTGTCTTTTGACATTTGAGGGAAAGTTGTAAATCCGCCAGTGTTCTTTGGAAAAATAAGTGACTCTTATGAAGAGGTTAGATACCCTTCTTTGGGGCTGTTAGACTTCAATGAGCATAAAAAGTGGATAAGGTTTTGTAACTGATTAGCTGTCAAGTCATTCAAATACACTGCCCTTTAAAGTTTGAAAAAAAAGCAGTCAATCTGTTGACAACAAGGTGCAGGGCTGGATGAACACAGCAGGCCAAGCAGCATCATAGGAGCAGAGAGGCTGACGTTTCGGGCCTAGACCCTTCATCTGTTGACTTTGTTTTAAAATCAGATCATGCAATGTCAACGGATATTTGTTGACAACTGAATTAGTGATTTAGGTTTAGTGCTTTTTGACTGCATTCACAACCTACCGTTATCAGAGTGGGTGGGGGCTGGAAAGAGGGCAGGGGTGAGTCCTAATTTCACAATTTAGTTAGCAGCCCATAAAGGTTATAAAGTTGTCTTTGATGTGGGGCTAAGGTTAAAATGTTTGACTCTCCAAGACATTAAATAATTAAAGGAAATGTTTTTTCTTTAAATAAGGGATCAAGTACTTAAAGGGAGTTAAATGTATTGAATGACCTCTTATCAAATTAGACTTTTTACGTTGTGATCTAAGTAGCAAATACTTAGATCTTTATTCCATTTAATCTCAGCTAGGCTGCCAAGATCTGTTCAGTGATGGACACTGGATGTGTTGGTATAGTATGTGTAAAAGAGCAAAGGGTTGTCGGTGGAGGGCATAGGCAGGCACTAATTAGCCTGGATGGGGCACGTGGAGCCATTGGAAGAGTTCAGGGTGTGAAGAGTGAGCACTTCACAAAAGGGTGATTCGGAAATATGATTTAAAAGAGAGGAGACTTCTTTTAATATTCGTCAGGTTTCTGTTTGGCGCTGAAGTGGAATGTTCTGCTGTCCATGTCTTCATTCAAACCAAGTCCCGCTCCGCCACCACCTCTGAGCCCCTGACATGCAATGACTCCTGTTCAGCAATGCTTCAAATTTAAAATTCTTATTTGTGCGTTCAAATCACATCATGACCTTACCAATCCTTCTCTGACCTCTTGTGCCATGCCACTGCTGGTGATCATGCCTGGAGCTATTTCAACCTCAAGTTCTGTAATTACCTCCCCGAACCTCTCTGCCTTTTTCCTTTCTTGTAGATGTGCTGACAAAGCTGCATCTTTGTTCATACTTTTGGATGCCTCTCCTAATGGCAAAGATACAGTGCTATCAAATTCTACATGATTAAGCTCCTGTGAACACTTCAGGAGTTTTTAACTGGGCTAAAGTGCTATAGAAATACAAGCCAGTAATGTAGTTTTAGCAAGCTTGAATTGAGCTAAATTAGTTTTATTTTCACGTTTTTACTAAGCGATGAAGTCTCACCATGATTGACTTTGAAACGTAGCTTCTGTATGAGCGCCAGGTTCCCACTGACTCGGTACAAGCCATCAATGTCCAAACCTAAGAGGTGAGAAAAGGAGATCATTGAGGCTTCTCTGCATGGTGCTGCTTTTAGTCAGAAATTGGAGAATCCTGGTGAGAACATCCCAGAAAGGTTTACACAAGTATAACAAGGAACAGCCATGTCATGTTTTTATGTTTAATATCAATTCTAAAATGACGCTTGATGTATCCTAAATATAGTCTATATTGGTGTGAATCAATGCAAACAAAATTACATCAAATGTACAGCACAGAAACGGGCCATTTAGTCCAAATTGTCTCTGCAGTATTGGTGCTTCACAAAAGGTTCCTCCCATCCCTCATCTCATCCTATAATTTATTTATCTAGCATCTCCTTAAAATGCATCAATGCAAACCCTAAACTTACTCCTTGTATTATTAAGTTCCACATTTCAATCACTTTCTGGGTTAAAAAGAAGTTAAAGTCTTAGATAAGGCTTTCTTAAATTGGGGCAGTGATCATACCTGAACCAAACAACAGAAAAATAGGCACCACATCAATTTTCCCCAGATATGTTGTTGATAATTTGTAATGATCCATAATCAGGATACTGGGCAGGGTTTTTATACTCTGAATTTAGGACTAGGTAAGATTTAGTCACAGCCCAAAGTATAAGATTTTTCATGCTTGGAAGTGTCACACAGACAAAGCATAAGTCAAGCTTGGCTGTGCAATGTTCTACTGCTACTATTCCATGCATGGGCACACTGGCTTCACTTCCTATCTATTTGCTGTCAGCTCTGAAACTGCCAAGGTTTAAGCATTGTACATTTCGCGTTGGTGACATCATGTACCATGTTACATGCATGTGATATCCAGCTTCATTGCTACCTCCCACCCACCTTCTCTGTTCTGGATGGCGTAAATGACAAAGGAGAGAGAGGAGACAACATAATAACAGCGAGAAGAGGGAAGGAGAACAGCTGCAGAGCTGACACAAAGAGGTATTGAGCTATTTGGAGAGAGAAGAAGAATGGATGTCAAACAGAATGAGATAGAAAGTGTTAGAGGAAGAATTTGGTAAAAAATGGTAGACCGGAAAGTGTGAGGGTTGTTACAAGGAGAGAGCAAGAGATTAAATTTTGCTTTGTCTGTTAATGATCACCATCATGGGACATCACGGAGTAAAATTAAAAATGTTCGAGTAATGTATTTAAAATGATGTTCCTCTTACAGTAATCAGGAGAGGTCTAACTTTAAGAGGCAGCGTTCCCAAACATTACCTCGTTTCTCTACAGCTTGAATGCACTGCATCACAAAACGTGGTACTGTGGTATTCTCCCGCTGGCACAGGTCCGCCAAATAGCAACCAAATACTTGATCTGTAAAACCCAAAATCACATAATGCTGAGTCTCTGGCCATTAAACCCAAGCCACACTAGAAAACTCAGAACAGTGAATGATGATCAGAGAAGCTAATGTAAGGCTAGAGAAGGTGCTGTAAACTCCAGGGTATACAAATGGGTACGTTCTCCTACAGCAGTATATATGGCTAAACATACAAAGACCATATTACATTTTATAAGGCGGATTTCGTCACATCAGTGTGCAGTTAGCATAAGAATGTACATATACTTATGAACTTAATCTGAGATCCTTTTATACTCACATTTTACATATTCCAACTCACCAATTACATTAACATGGTGGGAGACTATTAACTAAAGTGCATGCATTGATATAAAAAAGATACTAACTATGAAATATATGATTATATAGAACAAATAATGTTTAGATTAATAGATAAAGCATTATATTCATAAACCATTAGACTGATATTTCTGATAATATTAAGATTTAATTAAAATTATTCTTTTGAACTTAGTACATGAAAAACAATGGCATTATCCTGATCATTCCAAAAAGTATCTCAAAAATTCCTGAAAACTGGTACTTTCCAAACTTTGAGACAAGACCTTTGATCCAGCATTCCTCAGTGCTGGTTGGGGAATTTAGAATACAGGTCACTGTCTCAGAGTAAGGGATCAGTAATTGGGACTGAGATGAGGAGAAATGTCTTCATTAAAAGGGTTATGAATTTTTAGAACAGCCTACCACTAGAGAACCGTGGATGCTCAGTATTCAAGACAAATGTCGATGGAATTTTGGGAACCAAGGAAATTAAAGGATGAGAAAATGCAGCAGGAGGTTTGAGATGATGTGGAAGATCAGCCATGATCTTCATATAAGCATAGCCAGCTTGAAGAGCCAAATGTCTTTCTTCACTTCCTCTTTATTTTGTTCATATACTTTTTATAATATCATTTGATATTTCCTGTACTAAAAAAGAATTCCCAGTGTGTTTTATTTCCCCATTTGTGTTACGTTTTCCTCGTGTTTCCATAGGAACACAGGCCTAGTTGCAACCTGGTACAGTAGGCCAAATGGTGCTCCTGCTGCACTAATTCCTGTGACTTTGAGGTGGACAAAACGTACAGAAACATAGAACAAATTGTTCACAAATAATATGCAGTACTCAGAAAATTAATGAGTGCTCCTTCCAAGGCCTAGCTGCCTGTGCCACAGCAATGCCAGAGTCTGGGAGCAGCAGGCATGGGAAGTGCTTTCTCGGGAGGATCGTGGGATGTGACATTTTGGGAACTGGCCTGGCGGAGGATTGAAAGCAAGGGCCAGGGTGGGGCTTTCAGTTGCCACCCCCTTGCCTCATCTGCACCCTCTGCCATGCCCAGATTGGGGCTAATCGAGGCCCCCCAATTCCCAATGCCCGGGTAGCGGGCCACTCACTCTTGCCAGTCAGGAAATCTGCCGGCAGTCTCAGCTGCTGAAAACAGGATTAATCGTAGCTGTGCCGTGAAAAAGGCCCTTTTTGAAAACTTAACGATCTTAATTAGCCTGGTGAGAAGATTTTCTTGGCCAGAATTGAACTTCTGTGGTGACTGGAAAAGGGTGGATTTTGATGCCAATTGCCCAATTATCTTCAGTGTCACTTCATGTGAGAAAGATTCTACCCAGGGAGTCTTGAGTAAAACAGCTCATTTTGTTAGCTGTCGGTGGGTGGGGTCTAATTAAAACAAAATGGTTGGCAGGTTATCGTAACTTGTGCAATTTCCGAATGCTCTGTAATTGTTGCTATACTGCCTCACACTGTTTTTTCTTACCTTGGATATAACCCTTTTCCCTCACACTTTGCAGCGTTGGTCTCCGCAGCAAGAATCTTTTCAATTTGATCTTGACTTTCTTGTGATCGGTGCTTTCAGCGCTGTTGACTGAGGAATTTCTGGGAGGCCCTGAAGTAAAGAGAAAGAGAGTTAATCCTGACATTGCTTCCAGTATACTGGGAGCCAGGCAGCTCAAGGTATGGCGTAACTAGGGAACTGCACAAATCTTTACAATACGCAAAAACAGTTCGAGATGCTGTGATGTTTCAAGATGGAGATTTTCTGCTCCCAGCATTTGAACCGTACAGTACAGAAAGAGACCATTTGGCCCCATCATGCCTCTACAAGATCTTTTGAGGAACTTTCCTGCAAAGCTTTTCCCAAGTGTTTTGAATGTCATTATTGAATCTGCTCCTACCACCCTTTCAGTCAATGCATTTGAGACTTAGCCTTATGCTGTGTAAAACAAATCATTTGATCGCACCCCGGACCTTTTTACAATTACTTCAAAAAACCTGCGGACAAGGAAGGCGCAGTTGTGGTATGACGCACTGACCTCGACATCGCCGAGGCCAGGTGCCAACTCTCTGACACCTCCTCCTACCGCCCCCTTGATCATGACCCCGCCCCGACCACCAAAACGTCATCTCCCAGACTTTCCACAACCTCATCACATCAGATGACCTCCCACCCGCAGCCTCCAACCTCGTCGTTCCCCAACCTCGCACCGCCCATTTCTATCTCCTTCCCAAAATCCATAAACCCGACTGCCCTGGTCGACCCATTGTCTCTGCCTGCTCCTGTCCCACCGAACTTATCTCCACTTATCTCGACTCCATTTTCTCCCTCATGGTCCAGGAACTCCCCACCTACATCTGTGACACCATCCACACCCTCCACCTCCCCCAAAACTTCCGATTCCCTGGCCCTCAACACCTCACCTTCACCATGGACGCCCAGTCCCGAAATACTTGTATTGCCCATGCAGAGGGCCTAAAAGCCCTCCGTTTCTTACTCTCCCGCAGGCCTGACCAGTCGCCCTCCACCGACACCCGAATCCGCCTAACCGAACTCGTCTTTACCCTTAACAACTTCTCCTTCAATTCCTCCCACTTCCTACAGATGGAAGGGGTGGCCATGGGAACCCGCATGGGCCCAAGCTACGTCTGCCTCTTTGTGGAATACATGGAACATTCCCTCTTCCACAGCTACAATGGCCCGATCCCCTACCTCTTCCTCCGCTACATTGATGACTGTGTCGGCGCCGCCTCGTGCTCCCACAAGAAGCTCGAACAGTTCATCCACTTTACTAACACCTTCCACCCCAACCTTAAGTTCACCTGGACCATATCTGATACCTTGCTCTCCTTCCTGGATCTCTCTGTCTCCATCTCTGGTAACCACCTGGAAACCGATATCTATTTCAAGCCCACCGACTCCCACAGCTACCTAGAATACACCTCCTCTCACCCACCTTCCTGCAAGAATGCTATCCCCTATTCCCAATTCCTTCACCGTCGCCGCATCTGCTCCCAAGATGAGGCATTCCACTCCCGGACATCCCAGATGTCCTCGTTTTTCAAGGACTGCAATTTCCTTCCTACAGTGGTCGAAAACACTCTCGACTGCATCTCTTGTGTTTCCCGTATCTCAGTCCTCACACCCGCTCCCCACAATAACAACAAAGACAGAATCCCCCTGTCCTCACGTATCACCCCATCAACCTCCAGATTCAACGCATCATTCTCTACCATTTCCGCCACCTGCAATCCGATCCCACTACCAAGGATATATTTCCCTCCCCACCCTTATCTGACTTCCAGAGGGACTGCTCTCTCCGCGACTCCCTCGTCCGCTCCATGCTCCCCACCAGCCCCACCACCCCCGGCACTTTTCCCTGCAACCGCAGGAGGTGCTACACCTGCTCCTACACCTCCCCCATCACCCCTATCCAAGGCCCCAAGAAAACCTTCCACATCAAACAGATGTTCACCTGCACATCTGCTAATGTGGTCTATTGTATCTGTTATCCCGATGTGGCCTCCTCTACATCGGGGAAACAAAGCAGAGACTTGGAAACCACTTTGTGGAACACCAACGCTCGGTTCATGACAAACGATAACACCTCCCAGTCGAAACAACTCCCCCTCCCACTCCTTGGACGACATGTCCATCCTGAGCCTCCTCCAGTGCCACAACGATGCCACCCAAAAACTGGAGGAACAGCGCCTCATATTCCGCCCGGGAACCCTACAACCCAATGGTCTCAATGTGGACTTTACAAGCTTCAAGATCTCCCCACCCCCAACCTCATCCCAAGACCAGCCCTCACCTCCCATCCCCGCCTCCTTAACCTGTCTGTCTTCCCTCCCACCTACCTGCCTCTCCCTCCTCACTGACCAACCCCCATCCCAACTCCCTACCTACACGCACCTTTACTGGCTTCATCCCCGCCTCCTTGACCTGTCCATCTTCTCTCCACCTATCTGCTCCTCTATCCACCTTCTTTCATCACGTTCCCCCTCTCTATTTATTTCAGAACCCCCTTCCCCTCCCCCATTTCTCAAGACGGGTCCTGACCCGAAATGTCAGCTTTCCTGCTCCTCTGATGCTGCCTGGCCTGCTGTGTTCCTCCAGCTCCATATTGTGTTATCGCAGACTCCAGCATCAGCAGTTCCTACTATCTCTACCCAACGTTCTTGCCAGATTGAGTACGTAACTATTCAGTCACTTGAAAATTACTGCACAATTGTTGTTCTCAGAGAAATAACAAATGTGACCTATTGTTCCAAAAAGATATAAAGGGACCTCACACTAAACAAAAAGACCATACATAACCAAGTTTTAAAAGGAGCATTGCTTCTGCCATTTCAGACATTTGCTCCTCCTTTTGATATTGCTTCTGTTCCATGTTTTCAGGATTCAGTGTTTTGACTGCCGTTTCCATGGGATGTGGGAAGGGCTTCACAGCAAATTAAGTACTTGCAAAATACTGTTCCTGTTGCAATTGGGGAAAAATGCCTGTCAAAACTATGCACAGCACAATCCCACAAACAGCATGGAGGTAAGTGACCACAACAACCTATCTGGATGATGTTACTTCAGAAGAAATATTGTCTAGGACTGCTTTGGTCTTGTTCAGATGGGACCATGGGTTCTGTGATGCTTACCCAGGAGGGTTGGTCTTCACTTAGCTTTTAATCTAGAAGGTGGTGATCCTTCGGTGTTGCACTACAGCTTCAGCCTTGATTTTTTGCTCAAGCCTCTGAAGTGGGACTTAGAATCCACAAACTTATGATTTGAAGAGTAAAAGCAAAATACTATAGATGCTGGAAATCTGAATCAAAAGCAGAGCACTGGAGAAACTCAAACTGGTCTGGCAGATCTGTAGACAGTGAAACAGAGTTCACATTGAGAGTCCAATATGATTCTTCTTCAGACCTGCTGAGTTTCTCCAACACTTTGTTTTGATTCAGGACTCTGTTTCGGAATAATTTGCAGAAGAATTACAAGTGGAACAGATCACCAGGGAACGTGAAATGAGGCCAGGACACTGGAGCAGCTCCTGGACGTTGTATTGGAAAGATGGAAGTGTTGACATTGAGGGAGGCTGAGATCAAAAGGAGGTAATGGGTCTTCTGTACTCAAACTGTTCTTTTGACATAGCCATTCTGGAATGGACATGACTTGGAATTATACAGTACTTCTTTATTGTGACTGGGTCAAAATGCTGGAATTCCCTGACAGCACCGTCGGTGTCCTTACACCATATCGACTCTGGTGGTTCAACAAAGAAGCTCACTAGCATCTTACCAAGGGCAATTTCAAACAGGCAACAAATGCTAGTCTTGCCACCAATACATTCATGGATTAATGAAACATTTTTAAAAATCCACAGAAGTGGGAAAGGAAAATGCCAAAGAGTAGGCAATTATAGCACCTTGGGCAAATGATTGGGAATGGGAATGACTTGCACACCACATGTAAAAATAGAAAGGTCATGGGTGGATATGCATTTGCCATAGCTCAGCCTGTCAAAGTCCCTGGGGAAAAGCAGACTGTATCATCAGTCATAAACAGTTATGGAACACGCAGACCCAGTGAAGCAACCTTGCAGAGAATAAGGGAGAGGGAGGGAGACACGTCACTGAGAGGCCCTGGGGATTGGTTGTGGCATTTAGTTCAATTCTGTGATATGAGAATTGGAAATTGGTTCCCAATTGCCCATTGGTAAATAAATACACTCTACAAACTCATTGAGACATTTACCACGAATCCTCTTGTCATCTTTATCTTTGCTGTTATGTTTCTCAGATCCAGCTACATCAGCATCAACTTCATCTGTGCTGACAGTATCCACCTTAAGTGGAGAAGCAAAAGAGAATACATTGAATCAATGCCATTACACACAGATTTCACCTGACAAAGCAGCAGCGCTCCAAAAGCTTGTGATTTCAAATAAACATGTTGGACTATGACGTGGTGTTGTGTGACTTCTGACTCCATTGCACATGGATGTTAGAGATTTGTGGAGTGGACAGCTAACTGCAGGACATTTCCAAGAATTGTAATCTGGAGGATAATGGATGAGAACATGCTTTGCCTCTCTGACACAGCCACATCCATTTTCCACAAACCACACATTATCTGTAGGCTAGACCCATCCTCATATCTGCCATCATATGGTATCTTTGGTAACAAGAGACATGTGAGGAGAAGCAATAAAAATATCAACAATTCTGGAGCTAGGACATCATTCCAGATACAAAGGTACCTCCCAAAGCAGGGACCACCAACATCGAGGGCAATAACTACATGAGAACACCACAACTTGCAGGTTCCCCTCTAAATCACACCCTATACTGATTTGGAAATATCACCTACTCCTTCAACATTGCAGGGGCCAAATGCTAGGAACACCCTATCACATGGACTGCAAAAAAAAAGATAAATGGCTCAGAAATAGGCCATTCAGTCAAACTAGTCCCTGCCAGTATTAATGCTCCACTTCATCTCTGCCTATTTTTCCTCATCTAAATTTACCATTGTAACCATCTCTCCTCCATAAACTAGTCTATTCTTCAATGAAATATTACTCATCTCAACCACTCCTGGTGGTACTGAGTTCCACATTCTCCACACTGTAAGTGAAAACCTTTCTTCAGATTTGGATTTCTTTCTGACTATGTTCTGTGAATGGCCCGAGTTACTTGGCTCTGGCAGATTGGAGACAAGCCATCTAGTCTTCACACTCACTCCTCCTCCAGAGATCTGCAAATACCACCCCTGTTTCTGGAATATATTTCATCAGAGTTTCCATGCAAATCCTCAGTGTAGTCTTCCCCAAAGAGGGCACGTTCTCTCTAAAGCCACCTGATTGGAACTTTTAACTTTATTTCTTACTTACTACTTTGCATTGACAAGAACTTTTAACTTGTTTCTTTATTTTGCTACTCTTTACCTAAGATGGTACCATGAATGACAACATTGTAAACTTTTCACTGTAGTTCTCTATCCCTGTACTTGAGTACACTTGACAAGAAAACCTCATTCTAATTGATCAAATCTTTATTTCAAAGTGCTCCATCAGTCCTCAGCTTTCTTTTCTCAAAGAAACCGAAAGCCTAACCTTCCAATGCTACCTGAAGTGTTTTTTTGGAATAAGAACAGACATCCAACAGCAATAACTTTGAGTGCCTTGAAGAGTTTCAATGTCCCTTTCTTTTGGTTTGCTGACAGTAAATGTTTCCTCCTCCCAATGTAATCCCCCCCATATCCATCATATGTAAAATACCTCTGGCTGCTTTCTCAGTCACTTACCTGTTGATGGATACTTTCATTGATTATCTTAAACCAGTCCCCGATTACGGACTCTGTATCGTACTGTAGGAGGTACTCTGAGCCCCTTCGGGTTTTTAGCTGAAGACGAGAAAAAGGACATTGTGACCATCCTAAGAGGAGAAACCACTCTAGCTGCATTCCAGGTGTTGCTCTGGGTCAAACAGAGAGGTATAGCTAGGAAGAATTCCTTTGGGTTGCCATTCCTGATCACTGGAAAATATCCTATATCAGGTCAGCTGTGAATCCTTCCCCATCCTGGGACTGAGTAGCCTAGTCATATCCACCCCTCACCTGTACATTGAGACTCATTCGCTGGGTAAGGCACTGGGTACCTACAGAATCTCTCTTCACCTTCTGCAGAAGGGAATATAAGAAGTAGGGTTATCTCCTCATTGATCTACGAGGGCATGTTTAATATTAATCATATCGTTCTATTTATATTTCTTGAAGATTTTTAAAAATCTAATTAGTGTCAAGATTTCATCTTTAATGTCCAGAGGACACCAGAAAAAAGAAATGAGAGTAGAGACTCATCAGTCCTGTAATCTCTATCAGGCAGAGCATTTGAGAGACCACGAGTCAGAAAACCAGCAATAAAGTGTTGCAGCTATATCTCCAATCTGCTGTCTCTCCCTCAGTGACTAACTGCAGTGAGTGTGAGTCAAATGAATACACCCTAATGAGAGGAAAGAATTTGATGCACATGTTGGCCACTAATACAGCACAACATAAATCATCAAAGATGCAGTAAAACCAAAGACAATCCTGAGTGGGAGCCATGACGGACCCACATTTTCCACTAAGTTTGGGGTCTCATTGGCAGATCCTGGCAAATCAGGTGATATGGCAGTACAAGGGAGTCTGAAGTTGAACTGTAGGCAGGGATGGAATACCTCATGTGGGGCCTCTGATTGGCACAGTGTTGCCAACAGGAGACTAGACCCCTGGTATGGCAAGGTTGCCAATGGGTCACTGTGTGGGCATCTACCCCATGGGAAAAATCTGAGAAGTGGCAAGATATTCAGGCTGCTATTGGCTGACTCATGGGTATACCAGCTGCCTGCCACCTCCACCACTGCAAAGCAACAGTAGATGGGCACAGCTGGTACAATATGTAGGTGGGGAGAGGGCATGTGTAATGTTCAGCTGACTGTAACTTGATGACTGATTAATGTATTGTTGGCACATGCACCAAGATACAGTGAAGGGTGTTGTGTTGTGTGCTATGCAGACAGATTGTACCATACAAAGTGCATCAGGGTAGCAGAATACAGAGAGAGATCAGAATTAACATGACAGGTCCGTTCAAAAGTCTGATAACGACAGGGAAGAAGCAGTTCTGTTTGTAAGTGTACACAAACTTTTATATCTTCTGCCTGACAGAAGAGGGCGGAAGAGAGTATGACTGGGGTAGGAAGGGTCTTTGATTATGTTGGTTGCTTTCCTGAGGCAGCATGGGGTCAATGGATGGTTTGAGTGACGGACTGGGCTGTGTTCACATCTCTCTGTAGTTTCTTGCGGACTTGGGCAGAGCAGTTGCCATACCACGCAGTGATGCATCCAGATAGGATACTTCCTCTGCAGCATCTATAAAAATTGGTAAGAGTCCTTGTGGACATGCTGAATTTCCTTAGCCTCCTGAGGAAGTACAGATGTTGCTGTTTTTTCTTGACTGTTACATTGACTTGGGTGGCCCAGGACAGATTGCAGATGATCATCACTCCTAGGAACTTGGTGCTCTTGACCATCTCCATGTCAGCACCATTGATGCCCATGCGGTGTGCCCTCCACTCCACTTCCTTAAGTTAATGACCAGCCTCTTCATTTTGCTGATGTTGATGGAGAAATTGTTGTTGTTACACCATGCCACTAAGCACTCAATCTCTTTCCTGTACTCTGTCTCATCGTTGTTTAGGATCCGATCTACAACAGTGGTGTCATCAGCAAACTCGTAAACGGAGTCGGGGTGGAATTTGGCCACACAGTTGAGTGAAAAGTAGTATAGTAGGGGGCTGATAATGAGTCTTGTGGGGCACTGATGTTGAAGATTATGGTGGAGATGGTGCTGTTGCCTATCCTTACTGATTGCAGTCTATGGGTCAGGAAATCGAGGATCTGGTTACAGAAGTGGGAGCCGAGACCTAGGTCTCAAAGTTTAGAGATGAGTCTGTTTGGAATTCTGGTTTTGATGGCTGAACTGTAGTTAATAAGTAAGAGCCTGATGTAGGTATCCTTGTTATCCAGATGTTCCAGGGATGGGTGTAAGGCCGGGGAGATGGCATCAGCTGTGTACTTGTTGCTCTGGTAGGCAAATTGTAAGGGATCAAAGCAATTTGGTAACTTGTAAAACAGATTTTCAAACTTCACCAACCCTTAATTTGGTGAAATCCTCAGCTACAACATATTTTTGTGCAGGGCAAGCCAGCATTTTCTGAGATTGTAACATTCAGAGCTCACTCAGTTCAAAGAATTGTTGGGTGGTAACTTCAATTCTGCCCAGCAATAGGGCAGCAGTTTTTTGCAGTTTTTTTTATGTCCCTCAGGATAATTCAGTGGTCATTGAAGAGCAGTTCAGAGTAATACAGAGAGTGTAAATAAAGTCAGCAGATAGGAGTGAGTTGTGAGAGAAGACATCATGTTAGAAATACTGATTTTCAGCTGTATAAGAAGGAAAGGTAACTGAACTACATAGGTTATTTGGTTGGAGTGTTCAGAGAGATCCTAGAGCATTTAAATGGTCATGTGTAGTTGGGGTTCAGTGAAGTCCCAGGAGAAAGAGAAGCAATCTCAATGTAGAAATGAACCATTGATCTTATTGCTGAGTTGTATGGTTGGGGATATGGGGGAGAAGTCAAGAACATTTGGATACCTCTGCGTTGTTAGTACTTGGGCAAAGTTCTAGGCAGCCAGATGTTGCAATCAGAGTTCAGGAAAAGCCCATGGAAGTTGTGGTGACTCACAACAGGGGCTAGGTGCTACTAATGGTTCATTACATCTATGAGTGGGGATTAAAAAGCTATGAGCAGTATCTGCTTGCTGCAGCTGAACAAGATGGAAGCTCAGGAATAAAACACAAGCAATGATTTAGTTTGGTGAAAGTAGTTGCTGGCAAAAAGCAGGAATTGTGTCTGTGAATAAATTAGTGGAGTGCAGTTCTCACAGTCCAGGGGAGTATGGACCCAAGACACATGGGTGATTGACCAGAACAGGACAAGTCATTGAGATGGTCCATGGTGGAGTGGCTCTTCAGAGTGAATTACTAGGTCTGATCAACAAAAGTGAAAAATTGTAATCCCTTCTGAATTTTAATGAGATTTTTTGACCCACTGTATTATTAACATTTGGAGAGAGTTTTGTTTTCTTTATTCATTCATGGAATGAGAACATCATGGGCTAGGCAGCATTTATTGCCCAGAAAAGTCACATGTAGGCCAGATCAGGTAAGGATAGCAGTTTCCTTCCCTGAAGGACATTAGTGAACCAGATGGGCTTTTCCCCAACAATCAACAATAGATTCATGGTCATCATTTTACTCTTAATTTACTTATTGAATTCAAATTCCACTATCTGCCATGGTGGGATTTGAACCCAGGTCCCCAGAATGTTATCTAGGTCTCTGGGTTAACAGTCCAGCAATAATACCACTAGGCCATCACCTCCCCATATGTTTCAGTTGCTGGGAAATCAATGGGCTGTCTTGATTGCATTCCCTATTTTTATATGGTCTGTGGGTATTAGATTACATTCCATTACCTACATTGAATACATATTAATTCTGGATGTTAGAAATAAGTTGCACATGTATTGTCTTACTGTTCCAATAATATATAGTAAAGTTTATTGTTGTTTGTTCAAAATCATGGAATCTTGAAGCTTTATTCTCTTAATAAGACCCTCGATCTCATACTTGACTACTTTGGAAATAAAGGTTACCGCCCCAACTCAGATAACAGCATCATTTGGTGATTTTGTCTGGGATCATAACATAAATTTGGTGGTCTGGTTAGAGATCATTAACTGAAATCAAAGAGGGCACTTTATTATTAATCAAATGCCATTTTATAATATAATCTCCTAATAACCCTGGTCGGAAGTTTTTGTTTTAGGTAATTTAGGTAATTACAGCTGCTATAGTAAAACAATGTTAATAATAAAATGTAATTAGCTGCAAGGATTAATAAAAGAGTTCAGACATTGTGCTCATTGCTCAATACAAAGTGCAAAAACATTTAGCTCAAAGCTACAATAAGGGATAACTCACCATGGCTCCTTTAATAGCACCTTCCAAACCCATAATATCTACCTACTAGAAGGACAAGGACAGTAGATGTATGGGAACGCCATCACTGTCCTGACTTGCAACTATAATTGCAGCTCCCTCAGTGTTGCTGAGTCAAATTTCTGGAACTCCTCCCCTACCAGCAGTGCGGGTGTACCTACACTACATGCAGTTCAAGGCAGTAACTAGCCTTCTCGAGGGCAATTACAGTTTGGCACTAAATGCTGGCCTAGCCAGTGATGAACAGATCTTATGTATAAACAGAAAAGAAGCATTAAACACATTTCTTGGAAATTGCTTTCCCTGTTATTTTGGAAGAGAGATTTGATTTAAATATGTTAAATCCTCCGGTTAGAGTGGAATTTGTAATAAATACCTACGGTCTGAATCCACAATTAGAAAAACACAGACTTTAACTTTAAAACAAGTGTCTCACAAACAGCCAGAGAATTTAGGATAAAGGTTGGTAGTTTTAGACAAAGCTGTTTGCCTTTAATTTAACAGTCAAATAAGATTTTAATCTCTTCCTTTATAAAATGTCAGTTTGCAAGGATATTCAGTAATTTCCTAGCTAGTGTGGTGGTCCCTCAGAAACAAGAATGATGTTTGATCACATGAAGAAGCTACACATGGAGTCTTTTAACACTGTTACACTGCAGCTAAAGCCTGGTTCAGGCTGACCCGAAAGCTCTTCCACCTGCAATAGGCATATCAGAAGGATTTACAGATTGAGAATCTATCTGCTTGGCCACATTATGATACACCTTTGATGATTATCATGTCCTAAATTGGGATTTGAACCTGAAACCTCTGACCCAGATGGAGGAGGATTCAACCCATTGGACCACAGGAGTTCCTGATAATTTATTTGCCGCTTGATATTAATAGTGCACATCCTCACCTCTAAGACATTCTTTTTGCTCGATTTGTCCTTTGCTGCCCAGCCAATACTCGCTCCTTTCAGTTCAACTGTATGTTCAGACACAAATTGGCCAGCACCTTGTTTCTAGCCAAAAAGAGACAGACATTCAATATGAAAGAGGCTGACATCAACTTCCACTTGCGTGTAAACTAGTTTCTTTGCTGTGGAATTGCTCTTGTTTCAGGATTGTGCATTGTATTTATGCGGAAGAAAGTGAATTATAACACTGTCATATCCTGACTATTCACCAAGCCTTTTGGCACTCTACAATTAGAATACTGTTGGGTGTCCTTGACCTTGGATGATCTGAAAAGAGATAACTTGGGTGGAAAGAAATAAGTCTGAATTAATTAGCTTCTACAGCATTAATTTTACTTATGGACAGTGTTGTAAACAGGATAATGTTCAATTGGCCATCATTATTAGATATGCATAACCTGCTTTGACGTCAATGGGAGAGAAAATTGGATGTGATATATAATGGTGTAACAGTGTAAACATTTCTCTGGTTTCAATTGTGGTGTTGACTGTTGTATTACAGGAGAAACGGGATGTCAATAAGACAGCTTCTTGGACCTGAAATAGGCAAATTGGAATTCAAATCAGGTTGTGATGCATCATGCTGGATTGATCCTGGAGGTGTGTTTTGCATAGAACTGGTTTACACAAAGCTGAGTTGGTCAAGGCACCCATCTAATTGAAGGTTGTCGGATCGTAATAGGTAAGTTAGTTACAGCACTAATGGGAGTTAGATGGGGGGAAAACAGCAATGTTTAAAAAGAAACCATTAAAAGGCAGCAGAGGAAAAAGCCCAAAGATTTGTAAATATTTTATAGTTTGTGTAGTCAAAGTATTTCTCTAGGTTCTAGGAAAGAACTACAGGTCACTGCCAATACAATATCACCTTCTTCCACATGACTTGACCTAAGGGCCTCTATCAGCATCAAGTTGGCCCCAATCAGTGCCATAGATAACAACAAGCTGGATGCCCACCTAGTACCTGTAGCTTGCCAAGATGAGGTCCAATGCTGCAACTGGGCAATGGCTTTGCAATGGCACAACCTGGGACCATGCATAATCGCTCTGTTGACATGCTGTCCATTTTGGATCCAAGACCAACTTTTTGACCTATTGATGAATTGAGTTTTCCCCTTTTGACCCTGGGTTTATTTGCTTTTCCCAGGTGATGATGTGGTTATGAGTAAGGAAGAAGAGAATCAGAGCATAGAGTAGGCTTGGTGGGCCATTTCTCACTCAGCAATTTTGCATGTTTGTAAATCCAAGATGGACTGCTTAGCATTGAGAATCACACTTAGTACAGGCATGAAGTTAAACATTCATAACAAAGCATAATTTATCTTTATAAATGTGGCAAGGCATAACTGTTAATCATTGCTGATTGACAAATAAATTACAACATGACAAAAGCTCAATTGAAAAACATTCAGAGGCAGTTTTTGAATTTACTGTGGTAACCTAGTCAAGTGGATTGCTGCTGTTTATAGCTGAACCGCACTGTTCATAATTTAATCTAAAAAGCCTATCCATTCCTAACTGAACTTCTAATTCTGTGTGGCCTACATTAAAACACTGGCTATTCCCATCATTCTCTCTGTTGCTCTGACAAACTCTTGTCAACTCCAGACTCAACTGTACTAATGCTCTCCTGGCCAATAATCCATTCTCTATAAATGGCAGCTCATTCAAAACTGTGCTGCCCATATTCAGTCCCACTCCAATTCTGATCACTTGGCACATATTGGCCATGCTGACAAACATTGGCTATTTGTCCCCTAGTGCCTCAAATTCCCAACCTAATGATTAATTCTGTTCTTTCCATCTCTAATCTTCTACAGCTGTACACATACCCGTACTCCACCTCCAATTAATAGCCTCCATTCCTTCACCCATGTAGATCTCGTGCTCCGGAATGGTCTTCCTAAGTTTTCCCTTCAGCTTCCTTCAATTCTTTCATCGCCGATTTAAAACCGGGCTTTTAGTCTCACCTTTTTTGCTCTTCTTTTTAACAAGTACTCTTACACATAGCTGAACATTTTTTCTCCCCTGTTGTTATTTTTCTCCCCCACTTATTAACACCACCACCAGTCAATTACCCATGCTCGCCATTTTAGTCTCTCTTTCTAACATCTCCTTATTGGTCTCAGCTTTGTCTGACTACATCCCTGTGAAGCACATTGGGGATTTTTTTTAACTATGGTACAGATGCTACCTAAAGGCAAATTGTTGATGATGATGATGGCCATAAGTGCTGATATTGATGACTCTAATGGATTGTTTTCAATGGTTACTGGGAGTCGCCAGCTCGTCAGCCAAACAATCCATTCCTTCAGGTTACCCAGCTCAGGCTGTGAGGCTGAAAGTGACACTCATCAGATGCATTATTTCTATCAGAGGTTTACTCTTTGGGGATATTCTAGATTAAATCTCATTACCAAGGTGCCTGCAGACTGATTCTTGGGATCTTTATAAAAGGTCAGAATTCCACCCTGCAGCACAGTCCATGAGGATGCCCAGTTCTTCCTAAAATAAAACGACAAGGATCAGTATCACTCTCACAAACACAACAGGAAGGAGGAACACATTTCTAACCAACTGAGCAAATGCGCCATGAACACTTACATAAAATATTAGTTTAGCAGTCAGCAGGTGAACATTTAGAGACCCTTGATTTTAACAGCCCACCTAATGTGTAGGGTCTGGAAGGGAACATTTTCTCTGACACTGGCTTTTGCCGATTATGTTATCGATACGGAGCCAACAAGGGAATCTCTGCCCCTTCCATTCCCTACCCATTCCATTGCCTGTGCTTTGACAGCTGGGCAAGGTTTACCCATTTGAACAAGGTGTATATTGTACAATGTGGGTCTCTGCGCCGAAGGACTGAACCTGCACCAGTGCTGGCTATAATTTGGAGCCATCCACGTGAGTTCGATTTCCTTGCTGTTTGTTCTTGAAGAATGACCCAAGATAGATTTTCTGAACCCTCAATATCTTGGAGGCTACAAGCGTACAACAGAGAAAGACAGGTCTTCGACTTAGACGCAGACTCCCTACAGTGTGGAAACAGGCCCTTCAGCCCAACAAGTCCACACCGACTCTCACAGCATCCCACCCAGACCCATCCCCCTGTAACCCACCTAATCTACACATCCCTGAATACTATGGGGCAATTTAGCATGGCTAGAGGATTTTCAGATGTGCTCTAATGGCATGGACAGAATCAGGAAATCGATCTTCTGTAACTTAGTACAAGTGACTGAAGTTTAATAGCTTTATTGAAGTGATGAAACCCCATTAGTATTTAAGGTATTTGGAAGGCTTTAATAAGAGAATACTTAACAGGTGTAGCTAGTCATGTGATATTCAAAACTGGCTTCAACCAAGAGTTAATCCACAACCTGTATGTGAATAAAGTAACATTCTGATTACTCAGTGAAAAGCAATTGAATGTTTGGTGGTGGGAATAGTGTGTTTGTAAATCCAGGAACCTGCATGAGGAGTGATAGTAACCATAGCCTGAATGTCAGCACTATTCATTTATTGAGGAACAGCAGAAATTTCCTGCAAACTCCTTGTTTACTATATAATCGCAGTAATCAAAGTACAGCAATAAAGTAGTGCACAGTACGAATGCAGATTACAGGGTCTGGCTTTATGGTGAGTTTCAAATGAAAGGTGAAAATATTGGCAATACGAGTGCAAAGATCAATATCTCAGTCTGCAGCAGACATGAATTTCCAGCCGTTATAACTGAACCTTCTGCCCCTCGGCTGGCCAAATTGCCAACATAAATTTGCTATTGTGTAAAGCTCTATGCGAGTTTATTAATGGATAGAATTAGCTCCCACAACCTGTTGCAGTACGATGCTGGGCCGCATTGTCTGTCCAGGATCAGGAATCAGAAATAGAGACTGTTACCAGGTGCCAAATCTAACCAAAAGTATTGCAAATGAAATTTCCAGTAATGAACATGAAGCCATGTGTGTGGGGAATAACTGTGAATAACAGGAGCAAAGTCATAAATAGTGGCAGTGAAACTCAGAGTAAAGCGAGCAAAATCCTCAGTATTGAACGATACCCCTGAAACAGCAATTCATTGTCACCTTCATTGGTGCCTTTCTTAATTGGCCTGGCGACAGATCTGCTGTATCTCCAGTTTCACAATTAGACCTTCCACTCGAGAGCAGCAGCAGGTTGTGTTCACTGTAAGAAAGTGAAAGGTTGCTTCCCAACTTTCCGAAATCTTTAATTCAAAGGTAGTTTGAAGAGCCACAGAATGGCTTGAGCCTGCTTGTGCACCTTTGCCGGGTAGCAAAGGCCTCTGGGCCTGCCTGGAATTCTGGTCCCCCAGCCAAGTGCATGTCTCTACACACCTAATCCAGCCCTTGCCACCTGCCAGAACCCACAGATTTACTAGCACTGCCTTTAATTTAATTGGTCTCGATCAGGTTTTAACGAGGCTGCTTGACTCCCACTACAAGTAAGTGGGTAACGCTGCTAACCTGACCACGTGAACACGCCAAAGGGAGGATGGAGCTCAAGAACAAGCATGTCAGCTTGTGGTGATATTGTTAGCGTCTCCATACAGTTTTCAAACAGCCAGCCCAATAGATAAAATTTCATTTGGCGGAAAGTTATCTCAACTGACCTCTGGGTATTTAAGGATAAGCAATAAATGCTGACCTAGCCAGAGTCTCACTCATCCTGTGAATGAATGAAAAATAAAATTGCAATATATCTTTATTTAATGTTGGAGAGTTTAACGTAGTGATTCATGTGATTGGTTGCCTTTACCCTGAAGCTTTACCTGACAATGGAGATAACAGTTACTGGATGAGGGTCAGTTTGTCTGATAGGATTAGAGTCTAATATGATGGCTCAGCTAATGGTCCGCAAAAATTGCCATTACTTTACTCTCCTGATTTTGGCATGGTGTCTAACTCTGCAATGTTGGCTGCAATCTATATGGAAACAAGGTTATAAATGCCAAAGCGAATGTCAAAAATACCATCTTAAAACTATATGGCAACCACATCCAGATAATACTCCACCACTTATTAGTGAGTGACAGAATAAAATATGCCAGACTGAATTGAAAAATTTTGTACAAAATAACCAATGCAGCTAGCGTAACATCGCAGAGCTAAAAGGAAACAGTACTTTAAAATACATGTTATATATTCAACTGGTATGATTTACTCTGTGAAACAGTGAGGCATCAGAGAAAAGGAGATACAGGAAGGAATCAGTCCATTATAATGTTTTAATAGGAACATGTTTATCATAAAACCACCTAAACATCCATGAATTCAGCCACGAGTTTAGTTCCTGATCTAATGCAGCTACAAAACTGCATAGAAGTTTCTCAGCTAAATCAGAAAGTCTTCTTACCTCATACGCTTGCCATTATCTGCCACCTTGGCTTTGTTTAGAATTCCAGCTTTGTCCAACGATTGAGACTAAATAATTGAGAAACAGCAAATGAGTAAATCTTGAAATGTGGGAGTAATGAAAGAAGGCAACAGTTCCAAACCAAGCTTTCCTGTGCAGCACCAGCCTTCCCTTTAAATACCTGCATTTAGTGAACAGAAAATAGCCACAGGCAAAGGGTAAATGAAGGTTCAAATCACCAGAGCAAGGCCCTCAAGCTGCAAAGTGTTCCTGCAGAAAATAGTCAGAACCTGCGGAACAACAGATAGTTCCCAGCAACAGCAACTGAACAATAATGGCTCAAAAAGGTATCAGGCGTATGGTAGAGGTTACAGTTTGAAAAGAAGAACCAGATGCATATAAAAAATTTAGAGATAGTGAGATGTCACCAGCAGAGGGGATCCCTATTAAAATATCATGCATTAACTGTAGGCTTCGAAGGGGATACAGCTGCATGTCATTCCTGAGTAATAGGATTAGTGTAAAAGTAGATCAGTGTGAAAGAAGAAATGGCCTCGCTCACAATCTGGAAACACTAACGTGTGGAAGCAGGATTTCAGCACGAATCCCAAGTGCTAGTTCAGCACTGTAATCAGACGCATTTCGCCTGTGCATAACTATTGGTCCCTTAAAGAAACAGAATAAAGATTAATTGACATCAAATCATCGCAGTCAGTTGGTCGTGTTCACATATGACAAATTTGCAGCTGCTTATGGAAATTTTGAAAACAGGTATGGGAGGGCATAAGAAATGGGACCAAAAGCTAAGAGCTCGTCAAATCCTGATGTTTAAGGTGGTTCATTGATTGTATTCCAATTGTGTTTGATTATATACAGCCAGATTAGGGTTTCACATGAGCACATATAAAGAGACACTCTCCTTTTAAAAGACCATCTGTTGTTAATTTGATCTAATTTCATTTATTTGGTACTTCCAAAGAGTGCAAAGGGACATTCAAAGGATCTTGAAGCACAGTGTCCTGACCTTTGGACCAGAAGGTCTGGGTTCAAGTCCCACCTGCCCCAGGAGGTGCATCATAACATGTTTGAACAGGTTAGAAACAATTAAAAAGACACTCACTGAAACTGTGGGCAGTTAAGTTAGGCTTGTATATGCCTGAAATGGAGTATGATTAATCACCAGCAGGATCTCAAACACAACAATGACACACTAAAAAAAGGGAGGATGCTTGTGTTTCTATTAGGGACCATGACTCAAACCTCAAAAATGGTCAACATGGAAACATGGGGACTCAGAATGCAATCACTACTGTCTCTGATATGTCCAGTATTTAGTAAAGTCACTCAGTGGGAACATTAGTGACTAAATGGAATGAATGGTGCTGCTTCCTTATTCCTGTCATTTTTCAGACAGGCTAGTGACTCAAAACTTCATTATTTCAACTGTCTTCAGAAATCTGGTAGGAGGATGACAGAAGATAGTTGTGTTGAAATGCCCTGGAATAAAATTACACAAACACACGAGCCAATTAACATAGACTTCCCAACCAATGGGTAAATATAAACATATATCATTGCACAATCTCTGATATTTTGGAGAGAATATATCCAGTCTATTTTGCTTTGCATATTCATCAAGCAATGGAGTTCATCCCATGATCCATCCTCAACAGTATACATCATTTGAGTCTTGATACAAAGTCCATTTTTAAGCCCATTCTGGAGTCACATTTTGAATTCTTTGCTAATTGGATGATCCATCGTTCAATTCCCCACACACAAGTATTTATCGTGTCCCAGTGGGAGGTCCCAAAAGCATTTATTGTTGAAGTTGCACATTAGTCAGCAAGCTGCACATACAGTTCACTAAATAATCATAAATAGTTCCGAATAGTCTGGAGCCAACTCAGGCCAATAAATAGACAACAAAATGGTCATACTTGTGCCCCCCAAGATCACTGGCTTCAAGATACCTCAGGTGAAGTGCTATGAGAAATTAGAGCTACACAGAATGGCATTTTGGTAGCTTCAGGATTCAGGTCCCTTGTGAATTCTCCCTTTCCTTCATCGATAATTGATGGTCAGGCCCCCAGGTGTCTAAGCCCCAAAGCCTGGAATTCTCTTAGTTTAAAATCTTCACTTCTTATTCCCCTTTTAATGTATTCTGTACACCTTCCTCTTTTACTGCATTTTTGGTCATCACTGCTAATTGGCCCAATTTTAATCAAATCCACTCTTAACACATAGTTAGGCTCAGACCCAATGCCTCCATCTTTGACTCCACGCACGTTTTAAAAAAAAACAGATTATGCATCCTGGAATGGCTTAAGTCATCTTATTACTTTAAAGTTGTGATAAGGTGGAGGGTGTCTGTTAGCTTTAATCTATTGATTCATTGATCCAAGATTCTTTAAAGGGGAAAGAATCTGTCCTGAGCTGTTGTTTGAAACATAGAAATTATGTGGCACAGAGACAGGCTATTTGACCCTTGTATCTGTGCTGGCCAAAGAAGAGCAGTCCAGTCTAATCTTATTCTCCAATGTAAATCCGTAGCCCTGTAGGTTACAGAATTTAAACTGTATGTATAAGTTGTTCTTTTTTTAAAAACTGATCCAGATTTCCACCTCTACAATGCTTTCATATATAAGTTGCAGACTCTCATCACCCTTTGGGTGAAAACATTTCTTCTCAGCTCCTTCTAAAATGCTTCTAACCAATTAAATCAAATCTACACCCCAGATTATTGACTTCTCTGCTCAATGGATTAAGACATTCCTATCAGAGCCCTTTATAATTTTATATACCTTAAGTAAACCTCCTCTCAGCCTGCTCAGTTTTAACTAAACTAACCCCAGCTTGTATAATCTAGATTCCTGACTTAAAATTCTTCAAACCTGGTAACATCCTCCTAAAGCCCCTCTGTACCCTTTCAAGCCCGATCACATTCATCCTGTGATGTGGTGACTAAAACTATATGCAGTTGCCTCGAAATGGCGTATATAGTGTTTTCTATAGTTCAATATAACGTCCACCCTGCTGAGGGCCGGAGTGGAGCAGGCTGGAGGCCCGAGTGAAGTGGAGATGATTTTTGGACTGGAGTCCAGTGTGGGTGGTCAGTGGCTTGCAAGCCCAGTCAGACCTTATGTGGAAGCCCCCGGCGCTGATCTACTGCAATGTAATGTTTATCTGTAATCTGTTTATCCGACAGTAATATTTATCCTTTTAACTTTATTTATTATTTTTCTAACTTACACTCTGAATCACTAAAACTTTTTTTATATTTCTCTATTTTGTATCTAAGATTTGTTCCTACTTACTTTGTACTTAAGATGGCACCGTGAGAGGTGACATTGTCAACTTTTCACTGTACTTCTGTACTTAATTCTAGCTAAACTTTAATTCTATGCTTCAGCTAATAAAGGAAAGTTAACTCGTCTATCTTTTTAATTACCTTATTTCCTAATCTGTTACTTATAGAGTTCTATGGACATGCCCTCCAAAGATCTTCCATTTCTTTACACATCTTAGCATCTGACCATTTACTGTGTATTCTTTGTGTATTGCGTATTCTTGTTTGCCCTTCTCAAGTGCATTATCACATTTTCCACAATGAATTCCAAATGCCACTTCTCTCTCTGCCCGAACACTTCATCAGCAGCCTTATTACTCAACAGCAACCACAGGGATAACTTTTGTATTATATGAAAACTTCACAATCATGCCCCTACATTTAAGTCAAAACCACTGATTGATATTGTGAGAAGCAAGGGACTGAGAACTGAACTGCCATTGGCAACACACAATCGCCCAGTTACAAAAAGCAGCTTCTGACTGTCATCTTTTGTTGGCTCTGAATCAATTTGCCACTTGACATTGGATCCCATGGCTTTTTATTTTTCTGAACAATTTTGTGAAAATCCATGTTAAATGCGTTAGCTTCATTGAATTTGTTGATGCTGTGACAAGAAGGGACAATCAGATTAGTCCACATTGACCAACCTTGACTGATGCGTACCTTTATACCTCAAATGATAAAGGGAGGGCTCTTAGGGCACAGTGGTCGTGTCCCAACCACTCAGCCAAGAGACCTGGGTTTAGGTCCTACCTGCTCTAGTGATGTACAAGAACATCTCTGAACAGGTTGATAGGAAATATCTAAATCCGATGATTTACAGCATCCTTCCAAACATTTCCAATAATATGTCCTCCAACATATTGGTCAGTAGTTTTCCGATCCTCCAGCACATATGAAAAACGATGGTCGGACACTGCACTATTTTCCCTTGCTTCCCTTAACAGGGTATTTGACCCTGGGCATGGCTGACACTACCCAGTTTGAACTAGGCACATCAGGCAAGTGGGACCATTAAATACCGTGCAATTATCCTACCTCCAAACAGCACTCGCCTCAAATGTGGTTTAGTATCAGGAGAATTTACCAAACTTACCTGTTAAAGTTACATTACAACGGCAACAGTTGCTTCAAGGCCCCACAAGGATTGTAAACTCAAGCAGGAGTAAGTGGCCTCAAATTACAATTGCCAGTGCTCTGAGAAGTTGGAGTATTCTTGGTGGACAGAGGTAGAAACCTAAGAAGCAGCGGTATCTGCTAGTCATGTAAAGGGAAATGAGGGATGGCCAATCTACACCATATCAAGGTATTGGAATGTTCATTCCAGAACCTAAGACAGATATTCTACACTTCAGTAAACAGCCCAGGCAACAACCATTCTCAAAATGTCAGTGAAATGGGCCAGAGTCACAACTGACTGACAGCCTTGCCATGGTTCTTCCTCTGGGAGAACGTGAAGGAAATTTAAACACTTCACTTTGTTTCTTGACAGTACGAGTTCCCAGACTCAGCCAAGCTTTTCACATGTGTTGGATGCGTTGAAACACTTTTTTTTATTCCATTTTGAGTGGATCAAGGCCAGAACAATGAAAAGTCTCTTCGACTTGAATTAAAAGGTAGTTGAGCACCTATTTTAAAAGAGGCTTTATAAAACTTTGCCCACACCCCCAGTTTCTAGATTTCCCCACAGGAGGAAATATCCTCTCAGCATCTACACCGTGAAGCCCCCTCAGAATCCTTTCTACTGCTGCTCAGAGGCCTTTCTCAGCTACTTTTCAAATGTTTGTCTGCCTCTGTATCCATTTACTTGTTTGTCTTCACACTACCTCATCATTTCATTACCTTAACAATATCTCAGAGGAGCAGCTCATACTCAATGCCAGCTACTCTGGTGAGATCAGTTTTGGGTTTAGTGTCAGTCCAGCTCCTGAGTTACAGGCTGGCTTCCATAGGGATGGGATGAAACTGGCCAAACTCACTTCAAGTCAAACATAATTGTTCCTGCCAATCCTCATCAAAAAGGGTAATTCAAGCTAAAAGCTCTGTGAAGTTACTCATTACTTCACTCACCTTCTCCTCTGTATTGTAACGCACTGATAGCACTGGTTTCGGTGCGAGGCCATGGCGCCAGTTTGAGAAAACAAGGTTTCCTTCTTGGTCCACTTCATTCCCCGCATTAAGTTGACTGAAGGGAGCTCCATACTGAAGGACAAAGGGAAAGCATCAGTTATTTCATCTGAGCAAACAGGAAAAAATAGCCTAAAGTGATAAAACACTACGTGCTGGAGAAACTCAGCAGGTCTGGCAGCATCTGTGGAGACAGAAACAGATTAAACATTTGAGTCCTGTAAATGATCCTTTTTCTGAACAGTTTTGAAGAACAGTTACATTGGGCTCTAAATGTTAAATTTGTTTCTTTCCACAGATGCTGCCAGATCTGCTGAGTTTTTCCAGTTTTTTTTTATTTTTATTTCAAATCTCTAGCATCCACAGTACTTTCCTGTTAAAAACTAAAATGTTGTGCTCACTACTAATGCATGGATATTGTCAGAGCAAATGAAAATGTTTTCATTATCCCTTGGTAAAGGCCCAGATATACCCTTCTGGAGTGGGAGGAAAGAAGGTGCAACAGTTTGGGGGTGTGGGGGAGAAACGATGCACATAGCAGTTAAGTGAAGGAACAAATCTGAGGAATCAGGAGACAAATCAAACTGGATTGGCTAAACGGTTGGGTCAACAATTTTCCCAAGGCCCAGCTAAACTCAACCAAAATGATGGGAGTGAACAGGAATTTCGTGACAGGAACCTACAACTGGGGACGCCAATGCCAGAAGATCAGGTTTCCTCGTACGGCCCAGAACAACATGCCAGTTTCTCAACACCCAAAAATAAACCTTAAAACTCATCTGCCCAAGCTTCCTTCGGGCCTCAATTCCTCAATTCCAGCATGAAATCATTACTGCTCCTCCACTTACAGCTCTGAGGCAATTTGCAGACAGATCCCAATGACTTCATCAGGATCCAAATAGTCATAGGGTCATTCAGCACGGAAACAGACCCATCGGCCCAACTTGTTCATGCCAACGAAGTTTCTCAATCTAAACTAGTCCCACTTGCCTGCGTTTGGCCCATATCCCTCTCAACCTTTCCTATTCATGTACCTGACCAAATGTCTTTGAGATGTTGTAACTGTACCTGCATCCACCACTTCCTCTGGCAGTTCATTCCACATACGAACCACACTGTGTGTGAAAAATTGTCCCTCAGGTCCCTTTTAAATTCTTCTCCTCTCACCTTAAAAATATGCCCCTAGTTTTGAACTTTCCCTCCCTAGGGAAAAGATCTTTGCTATTCACCTTATTTATGCCTTTCATGATTTTATCAAACTCCATAAGGCCACCCCTCAACACTCCAGTGAAAAAAGTCCCAGCCTATCCAGCATCACCTCAATAACTCAAACCCTCCATTCCCAACAACATCCTGGTTCATTCCTATGGGTGTCCCTCTCTCCTATTCAAAATAACTGGTTAAGAAAAGGTGATAAGTGAAGGCAGCAGGATGAACAAGGGTGATTGACCACCTCATTTTAACTGTGTCCACCTTCAGCCAGCTGGGGAGGCAGTTAAAATGGGCTTTACCATTCAAGATCAGACACAGATGTTGCCCTGGAAGGGTGGGTAGAACTTTTGGAACTGTACCCCAGCTTTGAAGAAATCTTGATGAAAGAGGGCAAGAGAGAATAGGAAATATCTTCATTGAGCTCAAAATCATCTTTAAGCCTGAACAATGATGGGATAAAAAGCACAACACATCATAACCATTCCCAAAAGATGACAACAGCTACAGATACAAACCATCTAATGTTATTAAGATGAACAGGAGATGCAGCACCTGGTTAAAAAAAAAGACTTTTTTAAAAATGAAGAGCGCAAAGAGAAACGGTGTCAAGGTGGACAAGATTGACTCACCGACTCCCAACTCAAACAGCTTAGGTCAAAAGCAACCACTGGATACTTTTATTAAGATATAATCAGCAACTGTCCAACTTTATTTAAAATCTGGGAAACTGGTCATGGTTCTTGAAGACCCATAGGGGATATGATGGCTTAGCGGTAATGTTATTAGACTAGTAATTCAGAGGCCTAGGCTTATGCTGGGGAACATGGGTTCAAATCCAACCATGATGTTTAGTGGTATTTGAATTCAATTCAAAGTTACTCTCAGTGACATTGACCGTGAAACCATCTTTGATCGTTGTTAAAAACCCATCTGGATCACACTCATGTCCTCTTGGGAAAAAGATCAGCCATCCCCATCTGGTCTAGTCTACATGCAACTCCAGACCCAGGACAATGTGTTTGACTTTGAAGTTCCCTTTAAATAGCAACCCATTCAGTTCAATAGCAATTAGGGATGGGCAGCCAATACTGGTCTTACCAGCAATGCCCACATCCCATGAAAAGGATAATGGAATCCAAGTCCCTGTAAACTGGGCTTGTGAGACTGGATCTGACCTGGCTGCAGCAATTCCTCACAGGCAACTACTGACTCAGAGGCTGGTTTAAAGAACACTGCTTTCACGGTGTGATCTTTCCAGTCTAGTGACAAACAAATACACTTCACAAACTCATCAAGACTCCAAACTGGAGAAATCCAGCCAGCAATGTGACTGGATTTTGGTGAATATTGTCACTAGCAATTAAAACCCAGTGAGGAATGTGAGGCACCAATTAAATAAGGCAACAGACTGTAACTGAGACTCATTCGCCTGAGGTCCATGTTGTTCCCAGGAACAATGTGGCAATGGTGAGAGTTCATGCTCGTTGCCAAGTCACCTCTGCTAGTATTTTACCAATAGTGGAGCAGACATTAGGCAGCCCACCTTGGGCCAATTGAGGCCTTTAAGTGACCAATGTCTGGTCATATTGAGTCAATCTTGTCCCTGATCATTCAACTGAGATGAATGGCCAATGCTTCCATCTCAAAACCTGATCATTTTAATCAGAATCTTGGTGACCTTGTAAGTGTTCTCCTCATTACAGTAGGATTTCTTTACACTCCAGTCTCAGTACACAAATTGTGGCAAGTCTGTGAAGGACCAATACCTAGCATCCTTATTAAATATACAGTTGTTATCATCTTCCTATCTTCAGACTCTTTCTTTGGAGTGAACAGTCTGGTGTAGGGGAGGACTCCTCAGATTAACAATCTGCCAAACTGTGATCATGTATGCTCCTACGATGGCTGTAGATAAGTCTAATATCAGGCTGTGGATTGGCTTGTCTTGCACAGCAGGAGGATTTTATGGGCTCCCACATCCCATACAACAAGATTCACCCAGACTCACTGATTGCATGTATTTCCTAATGGACCTGACCCAGAGTTTCAGCTTGATCAGATATTCTGAAATGGGGTTTGAACCCTGCATTGACAGCTGCAATTCTACCACTGAACACAGAAATACACAGTAACGTGCTGTGATGTTTTTTCATACTGAATACAAATTGTTAGTCTACAAAACAATGATGACTACACTTCAAAAGATAATACACTGACTGTGAGGTACTTTGATTCACTCTTGTCTGAAAAGGGGAAGTTATGAAATATTTTTCAACACCATGGAGAGTGGTTATAAAGAGTAGTCACTTCGTAAGTGACAGTATTTAAGCAAACTCCTTCACAGCATAATATCCAATATTTGTGGAAATACCTTACCTGAGGAAGTTCCCACTCGGATTTGGCTCCTTCTGGATTATAATAATAGAACTTGCCATTGCTGTCAACATGCCTTATCCACTGAGAGGAATAACACAATACAAAATCGAGGTCACACAGTATCACTTGCTAAATACAAAAGGTGGCAACTCAATAGGAGAAGTAACTACTGAAGCCATTGCTCAAATAACTATAAAATTAAAAGCACAAAAGTCAAGATGCTGAGACTATGCTTAGCACTATAAATGGCACCCCACATCAATTTGCTAATGGTTGAGAATAAACTGACAGGTTGCTCAATGGCTGGGAGGGACTAGTCCTGCTTATCGTGGACAGGACATAACTGGGCAATTATCCACATTGCTGGGTAGATGACAGTGTTGTCACTACCATAACAACTTGGCTAGGGGTACATTCTAGGCCCTAGTTTAGGAGCACATGTCTTCAATACTATTGCTGGAATAGGCCTATAGCACTACAGTATTTAGTATTCTCAGCTTTCTCTTAATGTCATCGATGATTCTGGGCACTTTGGCCAGGAGGGCAGAGTGGATAATCAATCTCAGCCTCCTGCTGAAGGTTGATGCAAATATTTCAGCCTTGTCTTTTGCACTGATATGTCTCTCATCACGGAGGATGTGAATATTTGCAGAGCCTCCTCCTCCACAGTTATTTAATTGTCCACCACCATTCACAGCTGGATGCAGCAGGACTGCAGAGCTTATAGCTGATCTATTGGTTGTGGAATCGCTTAGCTCTGTCTATCATTTGCCTTTTACACTGCTTGGTGGATACATTGCCCTGTTTTGAAGCTTCACCATGTTGAAAGCTCATTTTTGTATCCCTGCTACTGCTCCTGGAATGTCTTCCTGCACACTCCAGTGAAGCAGGCTTGATCCCCTGCCTTGAGGGTAATAGCAGACTGGGGAATGTGATGCACCATGGGCTTGCAGACTATGGTGGAAAGAATTCCAATGTGTGTACCTAAAGATGGGGTTTTGTCTTCCCAAGAATTGTCACAGGTAGTAGCTTGGTGAGCTGGAGATCAAATCTATTTTTCCCTCTTATTGGTTGTTTCACCACGTGTCACAGACCCAATCCTGCATCTACACCCTTTAGCACTGGGCCATCTCAATCAGTAATGGGATTGCTGGGATATTGAAGTCCACCAACGCAAATATAGTCTGTGCCTTTGCAACTCTCAGTGCATCTCCATGAAGCACTCAATAGATGAGGGTGTGTGGTAGGTGGGCGTTGCAGGAAGTCTCCTTGTCTGCGTTTGATGTGATGCCATGAGACTTCATTGAATCCAGAGTCAAGAACGGTTCCAGGGATGTGGGACTTTGGTTACATGGATAGATTGGCGAGGTTGAGATGTTCTCCTTAGAGAAGGTTGAGAGATTTGATAGATGTCTTCAAAATCCACCAGGGGACTGGACAGAATAGTTAGAAATTGTTCCCAATTGGTTAAGGGTCAAGAACCAAAAGGAGACTGTTTTAAAGTCCAAATGGACCAAAAGTGATGTGAGAAAAAGACATTTCTACACAGGGAGGGATAAGGATCTGGAATGCACTGCCTGACAGTGCAGAGGAGAAAGATTCAAGTTTGTGATTTTCAGAAGAGAATTGAATAAGCACCAGAATAGAAAACCATTGCAGACCTGTGGGGGAAGGGCAAGTACAGGAAATAGTGGAGTTGCTCTTGCAGAGAACTGGCACAGACAGGATGGGCTAAATGATCTCATTCTAGGATTATACAATGAGGTCAGCCAGGAGTAGGACTGGCCTTTCCATTTTTTCCTAATATTTGAAATAATTTTGCATTCTCTGGTCCACTAACACAAAAGGTGTATTTTATAAATGTGTACTTCAAGCAAAGCCTCAAGCCATTGACAATGTATATCAGAAGCATAAATTTGTAAAAGTCATATTCAAATCTCTGGATTTTGTAATAGTGTCTCAAGAAACTCAACAAACAGGCCTCAATACTAAAGTGTTATTTAGAAGTTACATACAGTTCATTGCAATAGCAATTTTATTGTGTAGAGGGCGGGTCTGACTGATCAATTAATGTACCTGATCATATTAGATTTTTTCCTTTACTACGTTAACAGATACATAGAATCATTTATTTTAAACGGACTTATTATGATAGTAAGGGACAAAATACGATTGCATAAAGTATTGTTAGGTTGGTCTATCATGGGGTCATTTTGAAGCAATAGAATCTGGAGCAAAAGAAAAGCCTTCAGAATAGAAAGTGACAAATTTCACTCAGCACCTGACAATAGCACAAGAACACAAAAGTGTTTCTTACTTTTTCTTGCGTAACTTCACTGGTATAAAACATCTGTCCATTTTGATCCAGCTCAGAGGACCAGCCTGGGGGAACCTGTGGTTCTATGTGTTGGTATAATGGTGAATCCACTGGTGACTGTGGCTCGCTGTACTCATCCTGTGACCAGGCTGATGGCTGTCGCCGATGACCCAAGTACGGCCCAAAGTGACCCGGAGGGCTGTCCTCAACAAATTCTGGGTAATCCTCTTCTGGAGTGGGAGGCTGAAAGAAATATAATCAAGGAGTGAGCTTTCACCATCAAACCCAAGATAAACCTCAAAGATGTCAGTAAAACAACCGATCGGAAATAGTAACTAAATAAGTACAAATTGAGAAGATCAAATATCACACATGGAATGATGATTTGGGAGATTGGATTGCATTGCAGTGTTCCCACCAAGTTCTTCCCTTTTTAATCCTTTTTTTATACAGAATACCTTTCCTGTTCCCTTTTCCTGAAGGCAGTATTTGCTTGTAGGAACAAATTACTGCAGATGCTGGAATCTGTACTGAAAACAACCTGTTTGTTGGGATATTATTCCACACAATTGACTGTTTTCTATGCATATCACACTTCTCATTATATCCTCGTGTCATTCATTACACCCACTTAGGTACTATGCATATTTGAGCCTTGAGTATCACTTGACTGATCCATCGAAGAGTTACAGACAATATATCCACATTCCCAGCAAGGCTCCCACACTGAAATATTCCTTCTTTCTACCAGAGGGAAACTGATGCTAAATGAAACACGTCAACTGCAGTCAGATGTAAGAGGAGCTAGCTCAGCAGAAGTCACGAATCTGTCGTGAAGAGACCTCATTAACAACATTTTCGAGGATTCATGTTTTAAAGACTGTGGATAGTGGTTCATTTGCAGAGGCTAACCTTTTTTTTAAAATGGTAGGGTCACCAAATAATCATTTGGGTGTGTTTTCAAATGTAGACATGACATGGTTTAAGCACATTGAATTGACCTGTGTGTGTGTGTGTGTGTGTGTGTGTGTGTATGCGAGCATGTGCACGTGTCATCCTCTGTCTTTGAGAAAGCCCTTTTGGAGGGGCCAGTGTGACAATGGAAACACTGATCCAGCTGTTTTCCCGAAAAGCCTCTGAATTCTCAACAATTCCTGAACTAACTCAAAGGCATTTTGAACAGTTCATAGCTTATCCTTTTCTCCTTTCAAAAATTAATGATTATTGGCCAAAGTATTTCTCTTTAATTGGTGTGTGAGCAGATGGCGTATTGAGAAGGATAATTATTTATACCTTGCTACTTCGAATAGCAGGTTGAACTGACTTACATCTTTGCCAAATAAGTTCTGATTTCACAATAAATCTATAATATTGTTTACTAAAAAAAACTGACAATTTTTAAAATTGTAAATCTAATACAGTTCAAGTATGTAATTGATAGTTGGGTAAAGCATTTAAATTCATGTTGTCATCAGTGAAGCAGTGTGATGAGAGAGAGAGAGACACACAGAGACAATTCACTCTTCAATCAGGCTATTAACATTTTGAGCCTGATGTATATGATCCAGTATGACATGAGCTGGCAGGAATTTGAGGAGCTCAGAGTGTCATTTGCGTACCACCTGTCTGTAGACTATGCATGTAGTAAGTACAATTATGTCACACAGGTGACACAGTATTTTATTCATTCTCTTGATGTACGTACTGCTGCAAAGGTTAATATTTGTGACCCATTTGTGAATGTCCTTGAGAAAATAGTGGGTGGTCTTCTTGAATGCTTGAGACTAAGTGATGTGACAATACTATGGCTCTAAAAGGTACACTTTGTTCTGTTTTCTTTTTGAAGAGAGGTTTTGAGACAGAGGTAGAGGGCTGTCTATTTTAATCCAATAAAGTAAACAGCTTGTGAGACCTTGGGTTTTTTTTTTAGAATGTTGGAACAATAGAAACAGCCTGAATAGGTGGGATCAAGCTTCCCCAGAGCCAGGATTTTTAATTTTAGTTTTTCAGTAGCAGTTGCTGGGGTATTAAAGCTGGGTTTGGAAGCTACATCTCTCCCTGCTATTCTCCAAGTTTTCCTTTGATGACTTTCCTCTCACCATTACAGCAAAAAGCTGGGGGTTCCCTTTTTGCTACTAGAATTGCACATGAGATAATCTATTTTTCAGAATTTGCCTTTGCCAAGGGTGTGTTCATGGAAACTTACTATATTGGAGCAGTTACTGTTTAGTAGTTAAATTAACTCTTTTGGAAAACAGTATAACAGGTTAAGTTATTTCAAAAAAAGTAGGAGCAAATTATTGCAGATGCTGGAATGTGTACTGAAAACAACAAATGTTGGAGATCACAGCAGGTCAGACAGCATCCATGGAGACAGAGAGCAAGCTGACGTTTCGAGTCTAGATGACTCTTCATCAGAACTGAAGTAAAGTGTGGAGGGGACAGCATTTATGCTATAGTTTGGAGGCGGGGTAGGGGAGGAAGGATGTAGGGGTGGTGGGGTGTAGAGTGCTGGTGGAGAAAAGATGTTGATAGTTCAGATTAAGTGATCGAAATGTGAGAATGGCAGAACAATGGTGTGTCTCACTGCCAGACTTGAAAAGGACAGACAGTTCCACTGGGATGGGGAGAGGGGAGAGAGGACGTATAACTGAATGTAACAAGCTAAAAGAAAGGGAAGAAATGGGAGTTCATTCACAGATTTGAAGGTGTTGATCTCAATATTAAGTCCAGAAGGCTGTAAAGTGCCTAGTCTGAAGATGAGGTGTTGTTCCTCCAGCTTGCACTGTGATTCACTGAAACACTGCAGCACGCCAAGGACAGACACGTAGGTATGTGAGCAGGACGCTGTGTTAAAATGACTGCCTACGGGAAAGTCGGGGTCATGCTTGGTGTTCTGCAAAGTGCTCACCCAGTCTGCGTTTGGTTTCTCCAATGTTGAGTAGGTCACATTGGGTGCAGCAAACACAGTACACAAGATTGTAGGAAGTACAGGTGAAATGGTGTGCATATAAATCCTCTGCATATAAACCAACGTTTTCCCAGCTACCATCAGTTCTGAGGAAGGATCCCTGGACCTGAAACATTAACTCTAATTTTTTCTTCACCGATGTTACCAGACCCGCTGAGCTTTTCTAGCAACTTCTGTTTTTGTTCCTGATTTACAGCATCCGCAGTTCTTTCAGTTTTATAGGTGAAATGCTGCTTGTCTGTACTTGGGGTGCTGCAGTGCTCCAGTGAATTACAGTGCAAACTGGAGGAACAACATCTCATCTTCAGAAGTTGCAGCTTTCTGGACTTAATATTGAATTCAACACCTTCAAATTGTGAACCAACTCCCATTTCTTCCCTTTCTTTTAGCTCATTACAGTCAGTTATCATGTCCTCTTTCCACCCCCCATCTGTCCTTTCAAGTCTGGCAGTTGACACACCATTGTCCTTGCTTTTAAAGGACCGCAATTGCCCCCCGACAGTGGTCGAAAACGCCCTTGACCGCATCCCTTGAGTTTCCCACATCTCAGCCCTCACACTCCCTCTCCGCAATAAAAACAAAGACAGAATTGTCCTCACGTATCACCCCATTAACCTCCGGATTCAACGCATCATTCTGCGCCACTTCCGCCACCTTCAATCCGACCCCACTACCAAGGATATATTTCCCTCCCCACCCTTATCTGCCTTCCGGAGGGACCGCTCTCTCCGCGACTCCCTCGTCCGCTCCACACTCCCCTCCAACCCCACCAGCCCCGGCACCTTTCCCTGCAACCGCAGGAGGTGCTACACCTGCCCCCACACCTCCCCCCTCACCTCCATCCCAGGCCCCAAAAAAACCTTCCACATTAAACAGATGTTCACCTGCACATCTGCTAATGTGGTCTATTGTATCCGCTGTTCCCGACGTGGCCTTCTCTACATCAGGGGAACCAAGCGGAGGCTTGAAGACCACAAGGTGTAGAGCTGGATGAACACAGCAGGCCAAGCAGCATCATAGGAGCAGGAAGGCTGACGTTTCGGGCCTAGACCCTTCCTACTATCTCGGAGGCTTGGAGACCACTTTGTGGAGCACCTACGCTCGGTTCGCGACAAACCTCCCAGTCGCGAACTACTTCAACTCCCACTCCCACTCCCTGGACGACATGTCCATCCTGGGCCTCCTCCAGTGTCACAACGACGCCACCCAGAAACTCAAGGAGCAGAACCTCATATTCCACCTTGGGAGCCTTCAACCCAATGGTCTCAATGTGGACTTTACTAGCTTCAAAATCTCCCCACCCCCGACATCATCCCAAGTCCAGCCCCCCCAACTCTGCCTCCTTAACCTGTCCATCTTCTCTCCCACCTATCCGCTCCACTATCTACCTGCGATCACCGGCCCCCACCTCTCTATTTATTTCAGAGCCCCCTTCTCCTCCCCCATTTCTGAAGAAGGGTCCCGATCCAAAATGTCAGCCTTCCTGCTCCTCTGATGCTGCCTGGCCTGCTGCATTCCTCCAGCTCCACACCTTGTTACACCATTGTTCTGCCATTCTCTCATTCCGATCACTTAATCTGAACTATCAACATCTTTTCTCCATCAGCACCCTACACCCACTACCCCCATACCCCACCACTGCCCCCCAAAGTACAGCATAAATCCTGTCCCGTCCACACTTCACTTCAGCTCTGATGAACAGTCATCTAGACTCAAAGCGTTAGTTTGCTCTCTCTTCCTGGATGCTGTCTGACCCACAGTGATCTCCAGCATTTCAGTAAAGTTATTTGAATTCTTTCTTTTGTTGTCTTTTAACTACAATGTATGAATAAAGTGTATTTTGCGACATGCCTGGTCGTTTGACCAATCGACTTGCATTCAGAACGCCTGGCACTCGCCTTTAAAATAAGAAAAAGTTAGTGTCTAGGCTATCTTCTTCATATATTTTGAGGGGTTGGGAGAAGTCCATAACACTGAATCTAAACTTCCTTCTAAATCTGCCAAATGTGGCAATTTGAAACCAGAATCAGACATTAGTATTTCAATTGTTTTGGTAAAGGTCTCAAACAGACAGACACCATAAAATCTTATTAATTTAGTGCAGTATCTGTTTCTAGCATGTAAAAGCAGAATTCATTGTGTTAATACTACTTGTGTTATGTTCAGTGGAATAGACTTTAGAGAAAACTAACCACCACCCTGACATTTTTAAATGTCGGTTCTGAGGTTTCAGATTTTTGGATTTGGTATCAAGGATTAAGTTTGTTTTTTCTTTGGAAAATACTTCGTTACGTATGATTGCCAATGGGGCAACTAATCCGGTACCATCCGGCACTTGGATCCATCAGTGTGTCAACAACAGATGAGACAACAGTCTCTGAAAAAATTTAGCCAAACTTGCTGTGCATTATATCTGAGATGAGGAGAAATGTCTTCACCCAGACAGCAAATGTTCGCTCCGAGCTGCATGTGAGCAGCAGGTCTGATGTTCTCTGCAAAGCAATCATTGTCAGCATGCCGATCGCAACATTGCCATCTAATTCCAGAAGTGACTTTTCTGCACAGGCCTTTAGTTGCAGCTGGTAAGAAAATTAGAGGAAATGCTGCCAGAGTCTGTGGTGAGCTTGTGGAATTCTCAACCATAGAAAGTGGTTGAGGCCAGATCTTTGAATGTTTTCAAGAGGGAGTTAGGACTAAAGTGATCAAAGGGCTGTGGGGAAAAACTCATGAACATGGTACTAAATTGGATGATCAGCTATGATCACATTGAATGACAAGCTCAGAGGGCCAAATGGCATACTGCTGCTCCAACTATTCCCGTTTCGATGCTTCCTATTGGTTGTGGAGCATTTTATTTATACTCATTAACAGGATGTGGGTGTCACTGGTTAAGTCAGCATTTATTCCCCATCTTAATTAGCCTGTGGGTGGTGATGCTGAGTTGCCTTCTTGAACCACTGTAGTCCATGAGGGGCAGGTACATCCACATTGCTGCAGGATTTTGATCTAGTGACGGTTGAAGAGACACAAGATTGCGAAAATTTTTTTTTTTTTAAATGAATCCTTGGAGTGCTGGCATTGATGACAAGGCCAGCAATTATTGGCCAACCCTTGAGATGGTGATAAACCTCCATTGGAAGGCTTCAGTCTGGATGGCAAAGGTACTATCACAATGCAGTTGCGCAGGGATTTCAAGAATATGGCAGAGTGAAAAATGAACAACAACAGATGTCAGAGTTGGGAATGTTGTCGGACTTGGAGGGAAACCAGGACAGAATGGTGCTCACGTGTACCTACTGCCCTTGCCCTTTTCGGCAAAGAAGTACGGTGCTGGTCTGAGGCAGCAGAAAACTGTCTCTGGGACTGCTTGGACTCAGTGGACTGGACCATGTTCAAGTGTTCAGCGGAAAGCCTAGACGAGTATGCCACCACCGTCACTGACCTCATTAGCTAATGCATGGAGGACTGTGTACCAAAAAAGTCAATCTGAGTGTTCCCCATCAGTAAACTTTGGATGAACCAGGAAATCCACTCCCTAGTGAAGACCAGACGTGCAACACTCAAGTCAGGTGGCCTGGACCAATACAGAAAATCCAGATATGACCTCCACAAAGCCATCAGGGAGGCCAAGGGGCAGTACCGGGCCAAGTTAGAGGCCCAGGCTTACCAAACAGACTCTCGCTGTCTATGGCAAGGCCTAAACGACATCATGGGATACAAAATGAAACAGTGTAAGATAGCGGACAAAGACATATCCCTCCCTGACACACTCAATGTTCTTTATACTCGGTTTGAGCAGAATATCACCAGCGTGGTGATGCCTGCCCCGACAGCCCCAAACACACCTGTTCCTCTGTCACCGCTTCAGAGGTCAGATTGGTCTTCCTGGGAATCAACCTAAGGTGTCACCAGCCGGGCACGCAGATCCTGTGTGGACCAACTGGCGGAGATATTCACTGACATCTTCAACCTCTCCCTCCAACAAGCCAAAGTCCCCACCTGCTTCAAGAAGACCACCATCGACCCCATACCCAAGAAAACACATGCAGTGTGGCTTAATGACTACCGCCCAATAGCTCTGACTTCAATAATCACGAAATGCTTCGAGAAGCTGGTCATGGCCCACATCAACTCCAGTCTCTCAACCTGCCTCAATTCCCTACAATTTGTCTACCAATTTAACAGGTCCACAGAGAATGCCATATCGCTAGCCCTGCATTCATCCCAGGAACATTTGGGCAACAAAGACACCTACATCAGACTCCTGCTCATTGATTACAGTTCCACCTTCAACACCATTATCCCTCCCTGACTGATCTCAAAACCTTGGTCTTGGCTGCGCCCTCTGTAACTGGATCCTCAGCTTTCTGACCCACAGGCTACAATCAGTGACAATAGGTAGCTGCATCTCCTCCACAATAACACTCAACACTAGAGCCCCACCCACCCAAGGATGGTCCTCTGCCCCCTTCTGTACTCCCTGTACACCTACGATAGTGTTGTCAAATTTTGAACAAACGACATCTATAAGTTCGCTGATGACACCACTGTAGTGGGATGGATATCTAACAAAGATGAGTCAAAATGCAGAAGCGAGATAGAGGGCTTGGTGATGTTGTGCAATGAAAACAATCTGTCTCTTAATGTCAGCAAAACTAAAGAACTGATCATCATCTTCAGAAAAAACGGAGGAGAACACGCCCCTATCTACATCAACGGAGCTGAGGTTGAGAGAGTGAAGAGCATCAAGTTCCTCGGAGTGACCCTAACCTGCGATCTGTCCTGGACTTCCCAAGTAAATGTGACAGTCAAGAAGGTACAACAATGCCTGTTCTTCCTTAGGCAGTTCAGGAAATTTGGCGTGTCCATAAAGTCCTTCACCAACTTCTACAGATGCACCATTGAAAGCATACTGTCTGGGTGCATAACGGCCTGGGATGGCTACTGCTCTGCCCAGGACTGTAAGAAACAACAGAAGGTGGTGTGCACAGCCCAGACCATCACAGAAGCCAACCTTCTATCCATGGGCTCCATTTACATGGATCGCTGCTGCGGAAAGGCGGCCAACATCAAAGACCCATCATACCCTGGTAATGACCTCCTACAACCTCTTCCATCAGGCAAAAGGTACAGAAGCCTGAACACACACACGAGCAGGTTCAGGAACAGATCCTTTCTGGCCGTTATCAGACTCTAGCCACAAATAATGTAACCTGCAATGTAACCTGTATACCTCTAAGTCTTTTTGATCTGTACATCCTTTGCTCATTGTGATCCGCTCATAAACAAAGCTTTTCACTACATTTTGGTACATGTGACAAGAAATCAATGGACATAGGTGTTTTGACTAGGTCTGAAGTCTCAGCAAGTCGTTACAATGCGTCCTGTAGCTAGTACACAATGCAGAGTCAATGCACACTGATATTGAAGAAAGTCGATGGTTAGCCAGACAAATGCAAGCCCCAACTTCCTTTTCTTTCATTGGTTTGTCTCTGCCTTTACTTGAGGCATTGTTTAGGTCTTCAACAACTGAGAAAGTAAGTGACAAATAATTTGAGAAGTTATCAAAATCATTCATATTTATATTCCACTGTCTCTGTCCCGTAACATAACAGAAAAGAACAACATAAAAGAAACTGCTCTACCACGTTGGCCTTTTAAAGATTACAAATGCTTTCCAGATGGAGATTCAATACTTTTCCGAAAGAGATGTGTGAGACTTTAAAAAAAAAGTACATTAAAATGCACATTGCAGCATGTGTCAAATGAATTCATCACCTGAATGATTACCATGTGTAACAACTCCGGATGTAAAAAGATTTACCTTAGAATTAGGACACCAAGGTACAGGAAGTATTTTTATTCATTCATAAGTCATTTCTTGTAACAAGAGGGACAATTATCTAGGGAGCACAGAGGTCCCCTCACAGCCCAATCAAATTATAAGTCTACCAAATTACAAAGGGAATCCATGAAGTTCATGCAGGCAAATGTGGTATAAGGTTCAATTAAAATGAGTCAGGATAAGGATATTAAAGAGGCTGGATTTTAAAAAAAATTAACAGGCCAGGGGGTTGGGAAGCAAGTTAGTATGGAATATCATTAAGCTTTTTTAGTGTAAAAATAATTCAAAATCAAAACCGGACAGATTTATTGGACAGAAAAGGAGATTTGTTGAGATAGTGAGCATCGAAGATTGATGTAGCGTGGGAAGTCGGTCAGGCTGCATGGGTTATTCGTGTGGAAGTATTCATTAAGAGCAAAACTATTATTACATTTACTAATGTCAGGTGCCCAGGTATTTCCCCAACCCCATTCATTCAACACAGTTACTTACACATGGACTTAATCTGTTTGAGTGGACACACCTTTGTTTGACAGTAAGGCAGATTGGATTTGAGAGCTGTAGGATGTGAGAGCCATCGGGCCTGTGGCTTTTCATTTAACATTTTCATCTATTAAAATGAATAGTAGGAAAATGCTGTGGACAGCACTCATCTTTGACACCAGATTCACAATTTTATGCTCTTTGTAGCTGAGGTTTCAGAGACACACCTTCCAGCAAAACAAAGATAGTCACATACCCTCTGGTCCCGGAGGTTATCCATGCACTCTGTCGTATCTTCCTCCTTTTGTTCCGGTCGTTCCCACGTGGTCTCTCCAGTTACAGGGTTGTAGTAGTAGGGCTGACCACTAATTTCATCAAGATGCGATTCCCATTCCACAAAGGGATTGCTTGTACTGGAAGTGCGGGAACGTGGAGTTTGTGGTTCCTTCCTGTCTGTGCTATCGAACGGGGAGTCCCAGGTAGTCTCTCCAGTCACCACATTATAGTAGAAGGGCTGTCCAGTTGCCTGGTCAATATGTGTTTCCCATTCTTCTTGGTGACTGGTCAAGTTATCGCTGAGACCAGACAGTTCCTGTGCAAGCTCCTGCCTCAGCTCTGCCACATTCTGATACACTGCCTCCGATTTAGCTTCAAATGCCTTTAAAAACACAAACAAATAAAATGAGGTTCAGCCAGGCGAGTGTTCGATTTTTAAAAAAAAAGTGCAATTCCACGACATCTTTCACTACTTCAGGACCTACCATACCAAAGTAAACTTCCGGGGAAAAAAACGTACAAGTCTTGATTTTACAGTTTAATTGTAGAATTCCAGAAAATCGATACAGAAATGTAAGAAAGGAGATGAACACAGCAGGCCAAGCAGCATCAGAGGAGCAGGAAAG